TTAAATATGAGCGAGCCAAATCCTGCTTTGGCTCAACAATTGATTAATCAAAGTGGATCAGGACCACCTGGTAATAATGTTAATAGTACTATAACGAATAATGGAAATGCAAGTATCATTTCTGGTCAACCTGGACGTCAGCCTTTGGTAAGTGGCTTTAAGTTTGCCTTTTTCTAATATCTATATCCTTTAAAATTATATTTCTTGTTCATCTTTATTAGTTTTGGGAATCAATGATGTCTTTTAATAATAATATTTATTTCAGTATATGCTTTACTTTAATATTCCTTTGATTAAATGATCTTTGATCTTTTGTAATTAAATAAATGTATACAAATAACAATAATATCCACATTTTATAGATTTAGATGACAGTATTAAATATTTTATCAAAATTATGAGCGTAGCACTAATTTGAGTTAATGAGGATAAAGAAGAATTAATTTACTTAAAGAGAAACTTCATATTTTATAAATAAGAAAAGACATTAAGTAAATGCAATTTATATAATGTCAGTTAATTTACATTATTATTAATAAAATATCAAATTAATGGCTACTTTACAGGCTGTACAAAGTAATGCAACAGCACCTACAACTGGTACAACTGGAAGTTCAACAACTACAAAGAGTGGAAGTATTGGTAATGGGGGAGGTGGAAATAATGGAGGTAATAATAGCGGAGGATCAGGTTTACCTGGTGGATCCGCAAGATATTCTAGCAATGAAACTTCACCAAAAACTACAGCTACCACCAAAAGTAATTCACGAGGTCGTGGTGGCTATAGAAATGGTAGTCGTATTGATCGCAGATAACATATGTGTAAGATACAATTAATCATGATGTGTTCTTATGAGGTACACAAAGACACAATACCCAACACAATTGTAATATAAAGTTTTTTCTAAGATTTCTGTATATCTGTGTATATCAGTTCTTATGAGACAATGTGACAATTATATATATATACGTTAAAATGACGTATTTAATTGTACGCATTTAAAAGCAGTTATGCCAAAATTACAATAACATTAATACAACCTAAGTGAGATCAATAATGTATTTACAATTATAAAGATAAAAAAATCAGAATGACGACAATTGAAGCATAAGTATTTCTTCTTTATGTAGTACTTATTACATTGATTAAGCGAAATTTGTGTTCAAAAGAGATATGTGTAATTTAATTAATTATTTTATTAGAGTAAAATTTTACCACATCAACAGATTTCTTTTTATTCTTTCTATATCTGAAAACATTTTTTATACTATTATGTCCTTCAAGAAAAGAAAAAAAAGAAAAAAATTTACATCTATAATTTAATACATTGAAAACTTCGTAAATAAAATATAATTAATTTTTATTTCTAATTAATGTTTGATTAATGATTCAAAAAGTCGAAAAATTCAAGAAAAAGATGAGGAATCATAGTAATACTTTCAAATCCAAACGAGTAATATATATATATATATAATTGTAATATAATTTTAAATTTCAATTGAAAGAATTAATGAAGTTCGTTGATAATAATTTGTATAAAACATACAAAATGATTATTGTACATAGTTTTCATTATTCAACATATATTTTCTTCAAATGTTAAAATTTTTATTTAATGCATTCCAATAATTTGCAGCAACGATTAACCTCATAATTTAACAGAGTTGCCACCAAATATAACAGAAATCCCTGTTTGATGAAAACTATATATATATATGAAGCAAGTGTATATATCTTGCAGAACTGCAGTTAAATATTACCGACAGCGCAAAATTTCAAATAATTTCATATATGTTATTTACTTTGTAAGATAATAATTTTTTTTTGTGTATACACACGTATATAATATTATTTAAAATGAGACGATTATTTAAAATAAGAAATATAAGATAATATTCATTTTTTTTATTTACCAATACAAAAATTTTTAAAAATGTTATTTAATATCTCATCATTATAAACATGTCCAGTTATCATTCCAAGTTCTCTCATTGCAATTCGTATTTCTTCTACAGCTATTACCATATCATAATTTTCAACAGAAATTATTTTTATGTAATTCTGAAGATTATTAAGACATCTGTATAAATGATGTCTATATCTAGTTTGACTGATTACCGGATCTTCATTGAATGTATCACGACATCTGTAAAAGTAAATGTAATGATATTGTTGCTTTTATTTATATTATAATATTTTAATGTTATAAATTATATTAACTCTTTCCCATTTTAATTTTTATAAGCATGGACATCCTGTTGGACAAAATTATTTTCAATCATATAATAGATGACACAATCTGGATTTCAATGGGTAAGAATTGCAAATTTTCTTATATATTTAAATACTTACAATTTTTTACAATAATGTGTCATAATCTTTGTTATGTCTAACAGACCTTCTTCTGTTATAAAGGAAGTCGCAATTACGTTTTCCTTTTTTATAATTTCCTTATTTTTTTCATTCAAAAGATCAATTTTATTTGCAACCACAATACATCTCTTTCTATATTCTTCTGTTAATATTTCATTTAAATTCATATTATTAATGTATTCCTTCATATAATCTGAATATGTCATTCCACTTTGTAGATATTCACATGCATCTATTACTAAAATTATAAGATCCACATTTTCTGCGTATGCTTTTGCCCTAAAAATACCTTCGCTTTCGACTGGATCTTTAGGGCTTTTTGTAAATCCTGCAGTATCTGCTAATATAACTGGATAACCAGAAATGTTTATTCTTAATTCAATAATATCTCTGGTAGTTCCCGCAATAGGAGACACAATAGCAGCATTTCTTTGAACTAAATAATTCAATATTGTACTTTTGCCTACATTTGGTTTTCCAATAATTACAGTTCTTATTCCATTTCGTAAAATTTCACCTTTTCTATTATCTGAAAGATGTTGTTCTATCCTTTTAATAAGATCATTAACAGAACAATTACAAATCTCCAAGACATTATCTTCTATATTATCTTCTTCATTAAAATCTATGTAGGCTTCTAAATTAGAAATAATATTAATGAGACTTTTTCGCCAATCTTTATAAAGTTTACTTAAATGTCCATTGGCTTGTAATAATGCTTGTTTCCTTTGTTGTTCAGTCTCTGCTTCTATTAAATCTGCTAAACCTTCTATTTCCACAAGATCTAATTTATTATTGTAAAATGCTCGTCTAGTAAATTCTCCTGGCAATGCTTGATAAAAATGTAATTTAGAAAGTGCATTCATCAATGAAGTCAATATTGCTGATCCTCCATGGACATGGAATTCAACGCAATCTTCACCTGTGAATGATTTTGGTCCTGAAACATAAAAAGAGGATATTCTTTGAAAAATATTTAATATTAAATATTGTCCAAATATTTACAAGAGAAGATATATATATTAAGAAGATTGAACTCACCAGGAAACCATAAACATAAACCATTATCTATTACTTCTTTTGTTTCAGGATCTAAAATTTTTTTTAATATAGCTTTCCTAGGTTCTATTTTTGATATTGTCGTCATTTTGTTTAAAGCTTCGCTTGCATTAACACCAGATATTCTGACAACAGCCACTCCGCATTTTCCATGACCTTATAAATAATATTTCATTTTTATTGTAAATATCATTAAATTGTATTTATTATATCACTACAGGAAGATTATGTAGAAGTTATAAATGTAAGCAAGAAAAAAATATCGATAGTTTATTATCTCATAAAATTATTTCATGCAGAAAATAAAAAAGAATAATTTAATTTAATTTTCATTATATTATAAAAATAAATAACCAGATGAGAGAGCATAAATTGTTTTATGTTTTCTTTCTGTTGTACGAAGTGTCATAGATTGTCTTGTAAATAATTTAAACGAAACATTAATTTGTGAACATAGTCTTTTGTTTGACAATCGTGACATTGTAATAAATCACAGTAATTAAAACGTATTTATTAATGAATCAATCGAAGAAGTATTTTTTTCTCACAATAAATATCAGCAGATTATAAAGTACAAATACATCACACTCTGAGTCAGTCTTGCAATGTTACTGCAAATTTTTAGGATACCGACTAATATTTTTAAAAATCAAATGTAATTTCTTTTTTATCATATGTCGATAATACAGAACTCCTTTCAAAATGTCGGTAACAAAAGAAAACAAAGAAGTATTTAAATAAATTTGTAAATTTTATTTGCGCAATTACATATATATATATATATATATATATATATATATATATTTATGAAAATATTATATACTTATTACATGTATTGTTATATTGAGAGTAAGTCAATTTATTATAATCTAATATAATTTATAAAAATTGTAATATTTATTGATAATAATATTCTTTATTCACAGTTCTTAATTATATTATTTCTATATTAATTATTTTATTACGTTTTATGAGGCAGTGTATGATTCTTAGATAAACAAAAATAACAATAACTATTTTATCGAATATATGTGAAATATCAATTAAATCAGAATATTAATTCTGAATCTAATTTTATGACTATTATATAAGTAAAATATATATTATTATATAAGTAAATAAATTTAAGACATATATTTAACTATGTTATAATGTAAGATTCTCTCTCTCTTTCTCTCTCTCTTTCTCTTTCTCTTTCTTAGAACATAATTTATATTTTTTATTTTAAGATGGTAATTCCTGCGAACGAGAATGAAGTTTCGTTTTACCTATATTTTCTGCTTCCCATACGGTATCAGGAAGTTTTGTTCCCAAAGTTTCAGGGAAAATAAGGGAGAAAACGCCGGCCAAAATAGCCATGCTTCCAAAGATAACCAATGGTAATTCAGGTAAAATTTGCATCTATGTAAATAAAAAACTTTCTTTTTATAATATCGATTAAAATCATAAGATTCGACTTACCAAAAGTGGAGTTTGAGGTGCTAATATGGAACCTATTCGACCTGTCATACTGCAAATCCCAAGCAATGAATGTCGCAAATTTGTTGGAAACATTTCTGCTGTGTAAAGATAGACTGTTGAGAAAGACATAGTGATGCACCATTTTCCACCCATATATAAAATTAAAGGAGTATATAACCAGCCTCCTGTAATATGATTAATTTGATTTGATACGTCGAAAGTATATATTAATTAATAATAAATATGTATATGTATTAATTATTTTATTTCAATTTTATATTACCTGATGGTAAGAATTGAATGGCGAGACAAAAAAGTCCACTGAAAATAAACGATCCAGAAAGTGTAGCTTTACGACCGATATAATCAGTTAACAGCCAGGTAAGAAAATGTGCTGGTATTTCAACAACAGCAACGAGTATAAAATTCATGTATTTATCACCTGCAAATGCTACCGAATTTAAAGATAGGCCGTAATAAATAAAAGTATTTGTTAACCAACAGAACGAGCAAATGAGTAAACGAATCATTATGATGGAACTGTGGAGAACTTGTTTGATTGGTCCCTTTTCATTTGTCTTTTGATCTGATTGTTCTTTCTGAAATTAACGAGAATAATTAATTAATGTTAAATGTATCATTGATAAATCTTAATGAATCAGAGAAAATAATGAAATGTTACGTACATTCGCAGGTTCGAGGACATTTAATTCCTTGAATATACGAATAGTTTCATCTGAAATCTCTAACCCATTCATTTCTGCCATTTTACGATATACTCGTTCAACTTCTTCACTTTTACCATTTGCCATTAACCATCTTGAAAATGACATGATATTATAAAGAAAATAATATGACAACTATGTATATAATAAGTTCAATAATTTCTAATTAATAAAAATTAATGACATAAACGAAGATCGTATCAGTAAATAGATTATACAATAATATAGATAACAATTCAGCAATATGGATAACATTTCAACAACATAGATAAATACTCACTGACAACTATTACCTGACTGATTCCGGTATAGTATAAGGAAGGAATATGGCTAACAAAGCTGGACCATAAACAACACGTAAAAGCGTACGCCAAGATCTCAACCACATAGCAATTAAACCTAAAATTATTTCACCGAGAGCAAACATGCAATTTGTTATGGTGTTCCCTAAGACTCTATTTTTAGCTCCGGTTAATTCCATTCCTAGAAACATGAAAAATATAAAATATTCCTTTAGTTTCTCGATTAAATCTCGAAGTTTTAATTATTCTTTATTAAAAATACCTAAGATAAAACCAGCGCTATAAATTCCAGCTCCTGCAACGGCATCCATAAATTCGAATCCAAGGAACATCCAATAATTAACAGAAAATGAATGAATCAAACCGCTAATTCCACTGATAAAAGTTGCACCGGTTAACATCGTTCGTCTTCCATATCTAACACAAATATAATTTTATTATAATTCGTTCGATTTTTGATAAGTCGATGAATTAAGTCGTTTGATCTTAACTTATCAGAAATATATCCAGCGAAGATCAGGCCAACTAATTGTCCGACGTTGTTAATCGTACCGACTAAAGTCAATCTCCATCGATTATTATCACAAGTAAAGTCCCACTATTAAAAAAAAAAAAAAAAATATATATATATATATATAATAAAATATAATGCTGATTAATAAAATGCAATGCTTATGATGCTAGAAAATGTTCACCTCGTTAAGTATAGTATGTTCATTGGGATCATAGAACCATGCATTACAATTTTGTGTGATATTTTGAAAGGAAACAGATGAACACGTTCCAGGATTTTCTTTTACAGCGTAACGTGTACATGTCGCCAATGTACCATCTATCTTCGGAGCAGAGTCTAAAATCCATGGTGGACTGAACACAGTGTCAGAAGAATTTTCACATTCCGGAACGAGACATCTGAACTTAAAAAAATTGATAACTCTTGATAAATATATTTATCGATGTTTTACATTAGAGAAAAAAAAAAAAGGGAAAAAAAAAGAAAAGTAAAAAAGAAGTTTACTTTAAAGAATATACCTGTATTTAACTTCACCTGCTGTGAAAACATATAATAACGCAAAACCAGCTGAGAATAATAATGGTATGCTGAGTATTGCATACATCATCATTTGATAAAGTCCAAAACGATCCAGATCTTGCGTCCTTGGTGTTTCGTTCTTTCCTAAGAACAACTTCAATTATGTTTGAGGATTCATTATATTTATGCCATAACGAACGATAAACACGATTCTATCTACTATCTTATATATTTTTTAATATTACGTATTAGATGATTATTGGGTAGTTATTATATGTTTTCGTAAAGAACTAGTAAAAAAATTATTATTCATTCACGTAAATAGAAACGATTTATGCAAAAAAAAAAATCTTATAAACACGATCGAGAAATAATGATTAGCCTTAATTACGTTCACGTTAAATCAATCTACAAACCGTAACGATTACATTCTGATATTCTAATCCATTAATCTATTAAATCTTAACATAAAAATATTATATAATTAGATCGATATATTAAATGAAATATCGTTTGATTAATATTATTTCGTTGAAAATTCATTGATACCTTCTAAAATATCCTTTTTCATGATCGATAATGAATCAGGTTTGCTCGTGTAGAACCCTTGAACACTCATTTCATTCATCGAATACAACCTGTAAATTATATTTTCAAATGACTCTCTTGTTGACACAAACATCTTTCTTTTTTTTTGAATTATTGATTTATTGTAATCGTAAATTTGTTGCGCAATCGTTAATCGTAAATTCTTTCGAGAGATTTCGACTTTGGATTGGAATTATTTAAAAATAATTTGTCTATAAACAATGGCGTAGAAAGAAGAAGTAAATATATTTATTTTTGAAAAATAATTTTCTTTGGGTATGTGATTTTAAAATTTTAAAAATAGCGTATAACAATATATGTGCTTTAATATTATCAATGATTTATGTTAAATCACTTTCATTATCATCGACTGATATTTAGATCATCGAAAAATATATTTTTTTAATTATTCCTAATTAATTTTTAAAATCGAATTATTTTAATTATTCCTATTCGTTCTTAAAATCCAAAATAATTCAAATCATTCAATCATACTTTGAAATTAGTTTGCCGAACTTCGTTTCGATCGATCTAAAAGAAATTAATTTGAAATTCGTTTAAATAAAATCGGTTAGGTGTACGATTAAAATGAAAAACGATGTCAACGTTTTCTTCACTTTTGTATATATTTTCTTCTATTTCTGTAAAAAACAAAAAAAATAGATTACACGCATAAAATGTATATTATACAATAAATACTAATGTATGTCACATAAATTGCTATCTTAGAATTTTTTTATTTTTTTATTTTTTCCGAAATAATGAAAAGATGATAGCTTTTGCTTATCTATACTCCATTATATTTGCTTATCTTTAATTGCATACAATTATATTCCTAAGTTTATAATATATAAATTTTTATAATGAACAAAACGAAAATTCTTATATCTAAAAATTATTTTATAAATGAAAGAAAATCGAATGAACTATAAAATCTTTTCAATTTCCTTACTTTTCTCGAAACTCGAACCATCATCAAGTATAGTCCATGTAAATATTATAAATTTGTCAAATTATTTTTCAAATATAATAAATGCAATATACAGAGAATTATAATTTAATAAAAAAATCAACTTGAATATTTATAATTAATATTGTGAAATTTAATTGAATTATATATATATATATATATATACATATATATATATATAAATTCATACATATATATATATATACATAAAATAAATACATATATATACATATATATATATATATTTATTTATGCACCATTTATTAACAATATATATATATATATATATGTACTAACTTCGTTGCACTTTCACGATTCACGAAGATTCTTCCTGCTCTTTAGACACTGCCGTTTTTCGTTACAAGTGCATTCCACTTCTGTGCCGTTAACACTGTCAGTTTCAAAGAGAAAGGGTAAAGAAAAGTAGTGGGGGAGGAAGGGTGGTGGTAACGGTGCGAACACCATCCTTGTCCGATTTGCAACCTCTCTAGTCCAAACCTGCCTTCACCTTGGCAAAATATACACCAATATCGCATGGAATACGTATGTATATAAAAACGAATGTGACAAAAAATCTTCTTTATCTTCCATCTTTTTATTTTTATTTATTTTTTTTCTCTTTTCAACTTATTTTTTGTGTAGAATTACTTTTTTAATTGGACAAAAAAATAAGGTAAAAAATGATTGTAAAGAATCTAATTAAGAATATATATATATATATATATATATATATATATATATATATATATATATATATTTTGTTATGGATTACCTATAACATTAAGTTGAGAACCACTAGCTTGATATAGCGTACCAAACGATTCCGCCTACGGAACTGATACGACTATAAGATTTTCAACAACGAAATAAGAGAGGTTATATTTCGTTATTCCAAAAATATTTATATAAAAAATGAAATTAATATTTATTTTAACCAATGAGTCCATAGAAAAGAATCTCTAGGCAGACCCGATAAAACTGGTTTTAACTAGATTAAGTGAAGGATATTTCTTTACATATCTAATGAAACAGAGAGAGAAAGAGAGAGAGGGAGACAGAAAGAGAGAGAGAGAGAGAGAGAGAGAGAACACGATTTGTCCGACATACGAACAAAGAATACATATGAGAGAATCTTAAAATAAATATTGTGACAGTGCAAGACTGAAGTTAAATAAATTAAAAGAAAAGAGATTTTTCGAATCGTTGAAAAAAAATTTCTACTTCAAATTTAACATGCGATCAATCTATAATTAGCATCAGTTTTTAATCAGCATGTAATATATTAGTATCCATTAACATAGAGAAGAAGAAATATCTTGTTTCTTTTTTCTTATAGATAAAATAGTTTTAATGGATTTTCCATATAGATAAAGAAATTTTATCGATATTTATTTGATAAGTATTGAGATTCAATTACACAGGTGGAAAAATCCGTTATTTCGAATAACCGATAATTCTTTATCGATATATCGACTATCGTTCTTAAAATCGAATTTAATATTTATATATATATATATATATATATATATATAATGAAGAAATATTTCTTTTTACGATATTTAATTAATCGTTTTCATGAATTGATTGAATTATTAAACTTTGATTTCTATCTATCATTTCTTTTAACAATAAAGAATAAAAAACAGAATAAAAGATTGTTTAAGCTGTTTCATAAAGTCTCAATAATATTTCCGATTATAAACAAATCCATAAGAATTTTTTAATAATCGAATCGATATTCGATTAATATATTTGAGAATAATCGAAAAAAAAACAAATATGGAGAGAAAACAAAAGACATAAATGAAAGAACACGTTAAAATTCAAATCATTACATTGTAATAATAAAAAGTTCGTAAACAAAACTGACCTTTCACTTTCCATTATGCGAAGAAAATAAAAACTGAAAGTAACACTCAAAAAAAAAAAAAAAAAAAAAGAAATGATCGATATCGCGACGATCGAAAGTTCTCAGCGCGAAAAATAGTGAGACAACGATGTGAATTTCGTATTAAACGTTCCAACTTCAAACTTTTCTTTGTTATAATATAGAATACTTTTCTATATCCAAATATATATATATGTGGATGGGCCAAAATCATTAACAACTTCGATGATTAGTCATACAGTAATAGAAGTTCGTACTTTAAATATGAGTAGGAGGAGGTGACTGACAGTAGTAATGACGAAAGTGAAGAAAGATACGCGAAAGGTCAATGATTGTAAAACGATCTGATTTTTATCTACAATTATCGTAAAAGTTCTTTTGGCAAAAGTTATCGATAAAGAATTTTTTTTTCTTTTCTTTATTCTATAATACAACAATATTAATTTAATATTACCATCTACACAGTTACAATATATTTTATTTCTTTTCTTTGTTTTTATATTTCAAAGACAAAAAATATGAAAATGAAAGATTAATTATGTATTCGTTTTCTTTTTCTTTCTTTTGTAAAGATATGAATTTTGCTTGATTCTATTCTATAGATTATGATTGTAATATTACGTATGTCAAGTGTCTAAGTAAGTTAATGTTTTAATTAGTAAATTAAGAATAATTTTATACCTAATCGAAAGAAACAATGACACGGAACCGTTGAATTTATCATAAAAGTTAAAAACTTCTTTTAATTTTTAATAATGGTTCTTTTTTTATTGGTCAATGTTTTTTTACACATGACCACTAGATAGCGCTGTAGTAAAAAATAATCGGGTATTCGTTCTCCTTTCTCATAACCTATTTTCTAGGACGTTTTCAATGGCGATAATGTTTCTCTTGTATCAATTACTAAGCTTTTTTGAGACAGTACTTCGAAGTATCAAAGTTAAAAAATATACGATGAGAGATTTTTAATTCAATTTCTTTCAAATGTAATATTAATAAAAATATTTCCATAGTGTAATATTCAATGTGCAGTAGTTTTGTAATACTTCTTTTGATTTAGCCAGTAATTAAACATTTATATATTTCCGTTATATTTTAACTTATTTTCATCATTTTATAACATACGTTAAATTTATAAAAAATTTTCAATTATATAATATTACTTTTTATATATTTTTTACAGTTACAATAATCGTATGTTCGTTAAACTGAATAATGTTTTCATATAATTAACTATTCCATAGTATTATATTTTTTGAATTATTATTACAATTTTTATTCTGATCAGCTTGTAAAAGTATATATTTCGTATAATTTGATATAATCTTCTTATTGTAAATAATGAAATAATTATATATTCATAATAACTTATATTTCTTATTTTATTGAAATTTAGAAAAACAGAGACAAATAATGTCACAAATATCGAGACATAGAAGATTCAAAAGAGCCACTGTGCTCATTAAAAGAACACAGTGTTTAGGGAGATATCAAAGGATTAGAGGCTGTATGTCCTGTGAGTATTTTGATTATAAAATAAAATGAGAAACAACAAATGTTTTCATATATTCCATATATTCCATATATTCCATATATTCATATATATATATATATATATATATATATATGTATGTATATATATATTTTAATTATCATGATATGAATATTGTTTCTTCATAGCATATGAAAAGTTAAGAAGTAATAATAGTTCATTGGCAAAGGCACTCTCTAAGCAAAAACAAAAAGGACAACTTCTATTTTCACAAAATGTTGCTTTATTAGCAGAAGTTCAAGACTTGAGCTCAGCTTGTAATAAACGTGATGTAAGTAAAATATATAAGTAATATATTTATGACAAAAAAATATTAAGCCTATATTTTAATATGTTTACTTTAATTACATAAATTTTCATTCTTTTTTTTTTCAGAATACAATTTTAAAAGTATTACAAAATGCTAAAGAAATGCTGAAAATGTTAGTTACGATGACTAAATTTGTAACAAGTACTATTGCTTCCTGCCAAGAATTTACATCTTCCTCTAATATGAACATACGGATGTCTTGTAATCCACTTTCTAGTAAGATAATTTTATATTGAATTTATATTATATAAGTTAATTATTATTTATAAAATAATGATTTTAAAGAAGGAGATAACAGAAGGCTATCGTCTAAATCTCCTACTAGAGGAATAGTTAAACCGATGGTAAGTGGGCATACAATAACAAAGCCCACTATTAACTTGAGTCGAGTAAACATGCAACATTTTAATAATCCAACGACGACCTTGAGTACTATAGAAGAAGTATCAACGCCAGTAATATTATCTGAAAATTCCAATGTAAATGATGATAATTCCCCACGTTCTATTCCCGTTGATACACAAGCAAGAAATGCACGTATAAAAGCCAATTTAATTAATGAATATTTAATACTAATTTAATAAATATAAAACAAATTATTAATACAGAATTTATTATTTTAGACTGGTGGTCGTATCTGTAGAATGCCAGAAAGATTGAATGTTACTTCATCAAGAGCTAGTGGTATGAAATATTATACGAAGTAATATATTGATACATTGTAGATTCATGTAATGTAATTTAAAAACGAACTATTTCATTTAATATTCCTAGAAGGAGATGAACGGCGATTAAGTAAACGAAAAAGTAAATATTCTATGCAGTTATCCGAGAGACATTCAAGATCAAGATCTAATAGATTATCAGAATCAAATAATACAGAATGCACAAATTTAGTAGGAAGTCCTCGTGTTAAATTGAATGACGTTTCTAAATTGTTACAAAATTGCCAAACTATTAATATTCGAAGGGTTTGTTTTTCTCTTTTTATATTAAACTTTTATATTATTTATATTTCTTTTTTAATTAAATTTCTCTATTTTTAATAGCTGGGTTCAATTAAAGATAAAGTCATTAATGAAAATACAGAAATTAATGATTCAACAAATAATATATCTAATAAACAAGATAAGGATGATAACGTTATTTCAGAAACGCAATTATCAATAGATATTTCTGAAGGAACTGATACAGAAGAAAATAATGATGTATCTATACAAAATAGTAGAAGAAACTTTAAAAATGAACAGCCTAAACTTGATGTACAAACAAATAGCAGAGATAATCATAATGATGCATCTACTATTGATGATCCGCTTGAAGGCCCAAGTTGGTTATTGAACGATTATCAAAAACTTTCTTCCTCAACAAATTCAAATATGGAAAGTAATAAAATAAAGAATTTTAATAATAAAAGTGACAATGCACATGATTGTACTACAAAAACTTCCATGCTACATACAATGCAATATAATAATAATAATAATAATAATAATAATAATAATAATAATAATAATAATAGTGATAATTATCAAGAAGATAATAAAGAGTCTGATAGTTTATATACTAAAAAAAATAGATTTAAATGTCATACTTCGGAAAAACGAAGCGTTTTAAATAACTTTCAAGAGAATAATCTTGAAGCGGAAGGGGATGTTACAATAAATAATCAAGGATTTGTAACACGACAACGTGGAAATTCTACCGAAACTATGGATGATGATCTTGACGAATTTACTTTGATGTTTATGCGACGAAATATTAATAATGTACCTTTTGATATAAATGATTTACAATTACCTGTCTTAGAAGATTCCGTTGTAAAGTCCATAGTAACAAAAGAACCGGAACCTGAAATAACGACTACATTACAGAAATTAACACAAAATTGTGAAATTCCATCTACCAATAATGATATTAAAGATGATTCATTATTTGATCAACTCACAGTTAAACTGCCTCAGCTTTCAAATACTACAATTGATTGTACAATACCAATGATAGATATATCATTGGATACACATCAACAGAAAAAATTAAAAAATATAAATAAATCATTTGAAGCAGATAATTCTGAAAGTATAACTTTACGGAAGAAAAAAGTTCAAAGTCAGAATAAATCTACAAGTGACAAAGATCCAAGTGCTGTTAAAGTTGTCTTACAAAAACTTAATGATTCTGATGTTAAATTGCAGGCAGTTCCCTTCGAAGCAACATTTTTACAGAATTCTAACTCTTTCTCGTATGTATGATTATCTATTAAATAATTATATTTATATTTATTTAAGAAACATTAATTTTATTTTTAAACAGAAAAAAGATTCTTTATTCTCCACCGCTTGAAAATTCTAGTGATTCTGAAAGTAGCACAATGAGTTTAAACATTGAGAATAGTTCACCGAGACGTCCTAAAAGACAGAAGGCACCACAAAATTTGAAGGAACCAAATTTACGAAAGTAAGTAATGCATCATTTTAAAAAATAAAACAAATTAATTATATTACTTTGTTTTGTTTAATAATAAATGTCCACATCTTTGTTTTGTTGTAGAAAGCTAAGGAGATTTAAATGAATATAGAAAAAAAAAAATATATATATTTAAGAGAATATTTAAAGCAAAGTACATAATAAGTACATTGCAATGTAAATAAATATTCTATATATAGCAGCACATTTAATTAGTTTTGTTACAAATATGAATCAACGGTATCATGCTCCTATTTTTTCAATGAGATCTGTTAAAACTTACTCTCGCGTGTAATTTATGTTAAGCCAATTAGATCTATCCAATCACTGTGGTAGAATAGATACTATATTTTAAAGTTTTTTAACCATAATTCTTCCATAAGATTTTTAAATTACTTATACTAAGATTTTGTACCAATTTTGACACCTATTCATTCCGAAATTAATCACACCCGTCGAAAGCGGTCTTAATATTAATAAGCAACAAATAAATTTTTGTTTGACTTGAACTAAATAAATCTTAAATGATATAATTTTGTTCACAAAATATATATGTACAAATGTCAATTGATTTGAAATAATTAAAAATGCATCTGTGATGCTATTAGCTGTGGAGGACCAAGTCCATAACATAATAGTTTGTTATTTTTCTAAAAGAAATGACTTTAAAAAAAAAAAGAAAAAAAAAAAAAAAAGAAAAATGTTTGAATATATTTAAAGAAAGAAATTATTATAATTACTATAGGAATTAACCTGTGGAAATTATTTAATTTTTGATAAATGTATTTAAACAGTTACTGAAAACTACAATAGCAATAAAATTAAAAAATAAAAATATCCTTATAAGATTAAAGTCATATATGTCGCTTTTTATATGTATTGAACATTGAATCAAATGAATATAATACAGTAATTTTTATAATTCTTCCACTTTAATAAATGTCCATATAAAATATTGAAACTGTTAGAAAATAAATTCTATGCTTTGATAAACAATAGAGATACTTAATGTGAATGTAAAGAAGATATTTGCAAAGAACACATTTATAGAACTAATTAATATAAGAATGAAATATTCTTATAACCTGTAAAGATATCTTTTATTTAATGTGTTCTCTATAACCTTTTAGTATAACTTGATGCATAAGAAACATATCATACGACTGCATAATTTTATATAACAATGATATGGCATCTCGTATAAATAAATATATAAGTAATATAAAGATAAAGTTAATTTGTTATTATCATGCATATAAAAACATAATTTGTAAATATAATGTGAATTCATAAGATATACATTGTTTAAGAAACTACAAGTTTATTAATTATTAACAATAAACGAGACTTACAACGATGTATTTCGCGTTTAGAGAACACCATATATAGATTACTGTATATTTATTCAGCTGATGAAGACAGACAGTTTTTCTGAAAGAAATCTCATTTTATTATATTTTTAACTTATCGTAATATTGCAGTACTCTTATTTCACTATTCATTCATTGTATCAAGAAATATCCTATCAATTTTTCAAGATACATATGACGGATTTCAACGACTTTGATTTCGTGTGTATAAACACAAAATATCGTATTAGTGACGATTTAAAATAGAGAACTACACCTCCATACTTAATATGAACCATTATATTCTGGACATGCGCGTTAGATTTTTTTCCTCATTTTCTAATCAAAATTGATAATTTCTTTTTTTTTTTTTTCTAATTCGAAGATCGCAGTTTATTATTAACAATAAAAGATTTTTTTATTTTTTCATTCGAAATAATATGACATTTTTCCAATTTAAAGTTGTATATAGTTACCCATTCCACAGAATGTTAAATCTTAAATCACATCGACAAACTTCCGGTAAAATATTAGATACATTAAAATTTTGAAAATATTTCTTAATAATTAAAAGTAAATAAAATTCGTTTTATCAAGATATATTGGTCGCGAATCAATTTCAATTGGAAGAACTTTTAAAATTTTGATCCATTCATTAATATTAATTGAAAAATTTTCAGATTTAAGCATTCCCTAGAGAAACAAATTTATGAGCACATATTACATATAGAAAAATATACTTGAAGCATGTTTCCTTTTTTTTTTCCATTTTTTTACTTTTTTTGGCAAAAGATCGCCTGCTGTTCTATTTACATTTACTAAATAATTCGTATAATTGCTATCCCACAAAAATCTCAAATTATCGCCAAAACGTGTATATATACACTGTGTTAATATAAAAACGATAAATATTATATATTTATCGTAATAGAAAAATCAATTGTACAATAATATGAAAATGATTATCGCATCTATAGTTCATTGAAAATAAAAATAATGAAAGAATGATTAGGGCAATGTGAGATTTTTTATCCTACGTTGTCATATGATATAAGAGAAATATTTCTATCTCAATGTTATTATATTGGTCTCAATGTTATGATATATTGGCCATTGTGTTTATTCTTTTCTCTTTAGTATGATATTATATAATTATAATACTTTTCTCTTTTTATTTTTTTATTTTTTTCTTATATCATATCAGTAATATACGATAAAATTGCACAGCCCTAAACATAATTAAAATATCACAACTTATTCATGTTTATTAATTATTTATGCATTTCATTCTCTTTGAGAATCTTTTATTTATTTCATGGAATATATAACAATTCAATTTTTTTTTTTATATATATATATTGAAGTGTATATATTCCAGTGAAGTTGTATCTAATATTTAAATAGAACATTTTCAATGGATTTTTTGATATTTTCAACTCTAACTTTATAGCAGAAATGAAAACGGTATATGTGTGTATGTGTATGTATATATATATATATATATACATATTATATATATATATAAAATATATACATATATATATATATCTTAAAAATAATTGCATAAAGCGCATTTTAGTAACATAAATTTTAATAAACTTGGCTATGTGCTCATATTGATCACTAATTGCAACATTCTGTGTGCGTGTATAAATAATTATATAGACTTTATCTCTTAATCTTTTACAATAGTACCAATTTTATCTTGCATGGCAAGTATACCTAATATCTTACATGTCGCGTCTCACAAAGTCTAACATACGTACTGATCATAATTAATTAATGTTATTATAAAAATTAGACATTGTGACACGAGATTATTATCAAATTAGAGAGAGTGCATTTTTTCTATACCTATATAATAGATATATGTATATATATATATATATTTTTTTTTTCATCATACTTTTTATATTAGTTTTACTATTCATTACTTAATTATATAATGCAATTGTACTTAAATATTATTATAACAAGAAGAAAAGCAAAATGTGTTTAACATAACTAAGATATACTGAATACAGAATGCGATATAGATATAGAAACAAGTGTTCCATAGAAATACATATTTATACATTGGATTCAATCTGACGACTTCCACAATTATTATTAATTTTGATATAAAATATAATCGTATATGTAAACTAAATATTTTAGAAGAAATATGTACACGAAGTAAAGTCAGAATGTCATTAGACATATGAAGTCCGATGTTTTAAAAAGGGTACACGAGTCTGCTACCGATTGTGATCTTTTTACATAACATGAACTGAAATTAAATTTATATTAGAAAGTTTTTTTATATGATTATGTAGGATGCGTAGATAATGTTTGTGAAAGTGGCATTGTTGGAGGAGTTTGCGTTGCTAACACTGGAACAGGTGTTGCAGGAATCTGTTGATGAGTTTGCCTAGGTGGAGAAAGAAGTTCTTGTTTATCTCTTTCTCTTTCTCTTCCTGGACGCCAAGCTTCTAATAATGCCTCTACACGTTCCTCAGTAGGACCCCATCTTGCAGCACCTGCTGCATTTTGAAGCCATACAACCAAAGTTCCATGAGCAGCTCTGATGTTTACTTCACCTCTGAAATATCAAACCATGTCCATTTGTTAAAATATTATAATAAAGGATATTTTAATATACTAATTATTATGTTCAATATACTTCGGTAATATATGTTGAAGTCCATGTCTGTATTCATGTTCCATTGCAAGTACTACTACTTGTTTACGCTTAAAATGACTACTTTCTAGCTTTATGAGAGCATTAGGTGCTGGATCTCGCCACTCTGGTAGAAATACAACAAAAGACAAAGGTTCGGTTGAATCTGCTAAGAGACGTTCAAAGTGATTGACCATTGCTTCCATGAGTTCTTCACAGTAGGGTGGATTAGCTTGAAAAGAGCCGCTTACAGGTCTAAAATCCAGAAAAGGACCTCTTGATCCGAAATAGGAGTCTGTGTCAGCAAACGTTGAACAATATTGTCTAAAGTAACAATTTAAAGGAGATGCAAAACACTCGAATGTCACACCAAATGATCTTTGGAGGCACTCAAAAACTGTAACTGGCAAAGCCATCTGAGTTGCTTGTCCTTCATTGCCAAGATATGTTTGATATCGTTTTAACATACACCATACACGAGGTAAAAACATTTCAAATTTTTTATCATCAAAACAATTATACCTATACAAATGTTCTAATTTTGTTAAATGTGTATTATTAATACACATAGTGTCACCATGAAAACGTAACATTGTTTGATCACGTTCAGGAAGATAATCCACTTGTGGAAGCCGAGGAGTAGGAAGAGAAAATTGCACTGGATAACACCAAACTTTTCTTTGCATACTAGCAGGTCCCCCCAATGGTATCACATCCCCTAAACCACTGTCTTTTAATATTTGATTATTTTTATCTTTAATTTTTTTTGCATACTCTGTAGACAAGTGATAAATTTTTAAACAAATACCCTCGACACTTGCTTTTACAGTTTCAGTAAGGTGAGGTTGACATTGACGTTTTAAATGAGCAAGTCGATCCTGAAAGTCATCAAATGTTGCACCGACTGTCCGTCGGAGCCATTGAAATGTATCTTCGGCATTCCATTTTACAACTTTTCTGCTTTCGGGAGAGGCTGCTCTTGATTCTATCATTTTTTTAGCTGCTTCCGCGTAACGAGATAATTGTTTTCTAGCATCACCAGTAAATTTTGGTCTTACTAATTTAATAGGGATATCATTCATAATTTCACGATACATCGACATAGAGATCTCTGGAAAGCACTGACTTGGCAACAATGGGTCTGATCCACAGTCTATAACCTTACGTTCCATTAACCATCTGTTAAAAGAATCTTTAGGGGCATCTATTGACTCTCGTGTATGGCAAAGTTCTTGATAGCACAAACGTAACTTTGCAAGTAAACCACATCTTAATGCTTCCACTTCAGGATGGACATGTGGCAAATTTGATGGTGCTCGTTCGTGAATAATTACATTGGTTGGAATTTCAAGATCCCATGGACCTCTGTTAATTAAAAAACAAAAAAAAAATAAATAAATATTTCAAATGAAAAAAGTAATTTATTTATATATTTAAATTTATGAATAAATATTATACATACGCTAACACAAATTTTTTTGGAGCTGGTGCAGTACCATCTTCTGAAGCTCTACGTTTTACTCCACCACTTGGTGTACAGAGAGGTATTGATCCATTTCCAGGAACTGGAGGTACACCACATATACCAAGGGGATCCGTGATTGGATCAAACTTTAATGTAATAGATGCATTAGACTCTTCTCCTTCACCGTGCATTAAGTGTTATTTTTTTCCTAATAAATATAATACCTGAGATTTTAAAGAGGGGACAACCCACAATGATTCACCCGTTAATTTGTTCCAGAAATAAGGCCTGTTTTCTCGTTTACTCCAGAATTTTTTCCAACCTTGTTGTTGAAGTTCAGGCGAAAGTTCAAGATCAGAAAAATTTGTTGGTGCTAAACCCTATACCGATGAGTAATAAAATGAATTAAAAATCTTTTATAGCGTTTATTTTATAATGTTTTGCTATTTACCTGAGTCATTAAAGGTGTTTGTTGCAGATGTCCAAGTTGCGAACAATGATCGGTTACCGTTTGAGCTGGAGATAATATAGGACCTTGAAGTTTAACAGGAGTAGGAACTATAACTTGCATAACTGTTGTACTTGTATCCTGCTGCAACGTTTGATGATGATGATGCATATTAGATGCTGAAGATAGAGATGGTGCTGATAGAGTTTCCCAAGCCGAAGTATTTGGTAACTCTTGTTTATTACCACTTATTTCATTCATCGTTCAATAGTCGTTCTTTTCAATATACTAGGAATGTAAACATTTTAATATAATATTCATTACAATAGATTATTATCGCATTGAATTCTCAATTACATTATGTTCTTATTAGTATATATTCCAATGTTAAATACAATTTTATTCACTAATAATATTTATACCTACATAAATAAAAGAAAAAAAAAAAAAAAAAACAGTTAGGACATGCAAGGACTATGCACCTGTTGAAAGTGAGTATAAGAACAATATAAACAATCTATATCATAATATATAAAAAATTTAAATCATATAGCTAACGTTAAATTAATAAATACATTCAAATAAATTCTTGGGATAATTCTCAAAGTATAATTCTCATTTAATACTGTTTGACAGTACTTAATATCTTCAGGTTTGTTTACATTCTTTCTAAGCGCCACTAATAATCAGTAATTATCGAAAATCTAGACGTTTCTCAACTATCAAAATATGTTCTAATTATAATATACAACTTACCGATTAATAACACACGTAATTAAAAAAAGATATGTGATGAACGTTAAAATTCATTCATGATTCGTGAAATTCGACGCAATGATCTCCACCTACGAGACGCCATTTCCTTGAACTGAATCAACTATCCTACCAGATTCCTAAAGAATTCTCGCGTATGCGCAGTAGATTTTCAAAGCGGAACGTGAACAGTTTACATTCGTACTCGAATGTGATACGATATTTTTTTAATTATATTTCTTTTTATTTTTCAATTTGAATAACTTTTACAATTTATTTCCACAATAAATTAATAGAAAAAAATATTAGTTTAATATAAATGGTTATGTTAAAATATTACCAAAAGAACATATTGCATATACAAATACCACGTATGAAAATAAAAATTTCTTTACTTCCTGGATATGTAGTACGAGCTTGTATATCAAACTATTGTAAAAAATTAATTTAGAACTAAATAAAACTATGATATTTTTTCTACCTCAAATAATTAATATTAATGCAAATATATTATGAAATATTTTTACTATAAAAATGTTTACATTTTCTATAATTTCTAAAATTAGAACTAACGCCTAAATATAAATTTATATACTATAAACAAATTGTATTATTTGTTTCGTGATATTTTAATCCAACCATTTATATATCTATTATATCTTTTTTATTTTTTACTTCTTTGAAATTCCAAACTTACTTTTTTCTCCCCAAAATTTTTTCATCTTTAATTATAATAAATAATCGGAACAGGGTATTAAAAAATGTATATATTTTTATTATAATAATATTTGTTTATTTTATTTAATAATAATATAGTGGTACAATACTAAAACCATAAACAATGAAAATAATTTAGATAGCTTAACTTTGTAAAAATTTGTCCACAACGAATCCAAGACGACAGCGCCACCTGGACTAAATCCTCCAACTTAAAGTCATAAAAATAAATATTTTTATACTTCGAAGTTTCTTAACTACATCATCAATACTTTATGGTATTAAAAACGTTCTTTACATTCTTTAATCAAAAATAACATTATCTGTATAAATATTAGTGATCATTAATATCCTCTTTACCAAGTAATTCTTAATTATTCCATTTTAGCATACTGAAGAATAGAATTTTACTTCCTTCTGTAATTATACATAATTAGAAACAAATTAGGTTTGTTTTTTTTAACTTTCATATAATCCACAGAATAATCTATATAAGACAGTAATGAAGCAACAGTTTAGACACAGTTCTTAATGCACTAACTATACTAATACTTTGCTATTTCAGGTAAACAAAATTTTTCCCGCGTTATTTAATTATATATTATTATATTATACATTATACAAGATGTCTCATTTAATTTCATCCTATTAAATATTTTTATTTCTTCGAAAATAATAACAATACAAAAAAAGAAACAATTATACAATATAGAACACAAAGATACAAATATACAAATAGAAAAATAGAAAAAAAAAAAATTTCTTCAAGGTCACATTCCTTCTAGAACACTTTCTTTGTTTTGTTTGTATAAACGAAGAATATGAATGTGGCATGAATGATCGAATGAAATAAAACACCCTGTATATACTAACATAGAACGATACAGTAATTGTTTCTCTATAGCTTTGAAATGGAGAATACGCGGGGTTTAATTTGACCTAGCAGAAAACAGCGCATGCACTGACCACGTGCATGCAAGTGACCACCTGCGGCAGAGAGATCATTATCACAAACGTAAGTATGCTTGCTAGCAGTGTTGCATCGTGTATATGTATCTATACATATGTATAAATATATATATATATATATATATGCACCACACGCATAAACGTTCTCGCATACACGAACACGGTGTAATTATCGTCTGACGGTTTCCAAAGAAAACGAAGCGAAACATGCCAGCCGGGGATGTTGTTTTGAACCAGAAATAGAGGCCACTATGTTCAGAAACTTACAAAGAGATTCGATTTAATGTAGCTGAGCGTATGATCTCCAAAAAAGAATCCATTTTTTTTTTTATTGTTGTTATATTACATTTAATCTACATTTAATCTATTAATAAACTATCGTATAACATGATTTATATTTTTTAATTAAAAATAAAAAAAATTTTGTTTTCTTTTTCTTTTGCTTTTGTGAAGGAGATAAAAACAACAAATTCAGTTTATTTATTTATTTATTTTTTGTTTTTCTTTTTAAAAACAATATTGTGTATTTGTTTGTATATATATATATATATATATATATATATATATATATATAAATATTTCATGATTCTTTTGAAAATAGCATTGTTTATCTATCCTAACGTAACGTATTCAAGGAACATGTCCAATATATCAAGTTCTCGTCAGGATTAGTCACTAGTTGGCAAAGTGTATTGTGAAGAGAAAAGGAAACGTGCGAAGGTAGGGTTTTCTCTTCTACCTGACACAACAGTTATAATGAAGGGGGACTCCGTTTCTGACGTAGCTAGATGATGATCCTTCCTGTAATTTCTGCGAATTTAAGTAGGTCAATGTGAATTACTTTTAAACGATATTATATTTATACGTTAACATAAAATCAATCAAATTCTCCATTAGTATTCGAACTTTTATTTTTATATATCAAAATTAATTTATATATATATACATGTATATATATATGTGTGTGTGTGTGTGTGTATATTGTTTTTTATATATATAAATAAGAAATAAATGGATTTTATATATATATATATATATATATATATATATAATTATCACTTACTTATATATTGATCTGTACGCAATTGAGCTAATTAAAATTTAAAAATTTCGAATTATCTAAAACTATCTTATAATTAATAGAAACGACATGACCATTTTTGTATATTTCTACTTTCAGAGAGAGATAGAGAGAGAGAGAGACAGTGAGAAAGACAGAGAGAGAGAAAGAGAGAGAAAGAGAAAGAGAGAGAGAGAGAGAGAGAGAGTGAGAGAGAGAGAGAGAGAACCGTAAAGTTTGCGAAGATATCGCACATGCTGTGCCTGCTTCGCTTTATTTTCGTCGTCCCAAAAGCCAGCGTGGATTCGTGGAAGAACCGGTCGTTTCGAAATCCACTGCGAAGTATTGAGAGGACGAAAGAGGGAGTGGTACAGAAGGTAGGAGGAGGAGGAGAAGGAGGAGGAAGAGTAGGAGGAGGTGGGAAGGGAATAGAGTAGAAGGACGAAGGGAGGGGAACGATGCCGGATTAAGAAATCAACGAACGTAAAGAGAAGCCGGTGGTGTTTGGCCAACTTCCAAAATTCGTGACAACTAAAAAGATTTGTAGCAAGGAAATCTTGTTTTTTACCCTTTCGTAAACAAAACTTCACAAGACGGACACAATATACTCTGTAGTTTGTGTAGTAGAGAGGGGGAAAAAAAAAAGAAACGTGAAATTATTAGAGATAAATTGGTAATCTGTAATAATAAATATATAATATTTTCTTTTTATACTTTAATACAAAGAGAGCGAGAGAGAGGGGGGGGGGGGGGACGGGTGGAGAGAGAGAGAGAGAGAAAGAGACTATATTTTTATCGTGTTTCGTTAAAAAATAAAATCATTTGTAAAAAAATCTTCCTATTTTGCATTATATGCGTCTGTGTTTACATTAGATAAAAGGTTTCCTATTAAAGTTATATATACCTAGCGTGTGTGTATATATATATATATATATATATATATATATTTATATATATATATATATTATTGAATATTCGTATAATATATTTCGATAGCTATATTTTATTCATTATTGTTTTGTTGCAAATGCTCTAATCGTTTCAGCACCATACTTCTATGTCCCAATTTGAACATTGGGTTTTTAGCTTATTTACTAAATCACAATTAATTTGTTACTTTCATCTTTTATAGTACCATCATTTTTTTCTTCCTCTTTTTTTTTTTTCCTTTCCTTTTTTCCTTCCCTCCTTTTCTTGCTTTTCTTGGCTAAATTTAATTGATGTATAATCAATATATTCATTATTTGATTAGAAGTGTTACATCGTCGATGATTTTCAAGCTTTAAAATATCGTTATCTATAATAATAATATTATTACACATGTAATATATTCCACAATATATTAAAAAAGCACGAATGAACAACAACAGTCTTGAAATCTCATCCCTTTACTATGCAATAATAATATGCATAGAAGGCACACTGTATATAATGGCACGCATTAGCAAGACAAAAGACCTCGAATTCCTTTCTTCTCACTTTCTCTGGACTACAATTGTAAAAGTCTCTTAAGTCGCAAAAATATAAATCTTTATGAGGTATCGGAAGTCTCGTTGCTTCTTATTAAGCACATCGTATTTTAGCATATAAAAATTTACATTCATTATATATAAATATATATATGCAATATTATAAATGCAATATTAATAAAGATCAAAGGGGGAAAGCTCCCGAACGCGACTCTCTCTTTTCTTTGTTTCTTTAAAAAAAATGATCGCAACGCATGATTAATTTTCAGCTGTGAAAATAATTATATATAAGCACGCAATTTTTCTTACTTCTCCCATATATATATATATATACATATAAATAAATATATATATATGTGTGTATATATATATATATATTGCATCGATTTCTATATAAACACGTCCCTTTCTTAAAATTGTTCCGAAACTGTCATAATTTGACAACCGGATTGTACGTGATCCATCACCTGTTCCTTAAGCCGGCAAACGTGCTCCCGCAGTTTGTGTACGACCGCGCTCAATTCGTTGTTCTCGCCCTTGAGAACTTTGACCTTGTCCTCCAGCCTGGAAATACGTTCGAGTTTGCGCCTGCGACACTTGGAAGCGGCAACGCGATTTCGTTGCCTCTTCCTTTCGAGTTTAATCCTTTCTTGATTTTCCATGTCTATCGGTGACATAGGCGGCGAGCTAGAAACGCTAGGTACCGTTTGGGGTTCGTCCTTTATTTGCATGAGACCCTGACTCACCGAGGACTCCGTTCCGATGCTTTGCACGCTACCGGGTGGCTCCAAAGTTGTGTAAGTAGCTCCGTGTAAGCTACCAGGTTCTTGGGAGCTATCCGAGTGATGTAGCTCGTTTAGGGCATCTACAAAACCACGAGCATAAAGTTCTTGAGCTTCCGTAACCGTTTTTGGAAAAAGTATTTGCGCCGTTGGCGTCGGCAAGGATGTGACGACGCCCTCGGTGTCGGCACCATTGCCATCCTGTTGTTCGATTATCAACTTCTCCAATTCCGGCGATCCCAATTTGAGCATATTCAAGTCTGGGGAACTTAAAATCGGAGCAATATTAAAAGTAGTCGGTAACGGGCCCAATCTTGGTTTTTTAACTTGTAACTCTTGTCTTTGACAATTGTTTAAATCCAACGTGAGATTACGTTTACGTAAACCCATGTTATTTTCACGATTTATAACTCCGTAAGAGCCTGTTGTGTCCTCATTAAATACCTGATCCATTGTTAAATTTCGTACCATCGATAACGTGAAGAATGGTCTTTCTTTGATGGCAACTCCGAAGGTCGTCTTTTCTTATTCTCTCACTCTTTCAAGCATATACGCGTGCTCTATCTCTCGTTGTCTTCCCTCTCTTCTCTTTTCTGTGCAGTATCTGTTTTCTCTCTCTCTCTCTCTCTCTCTCTTTCTCTCTCTCTGTCTCCCTCTGTCTCTCTCTCTTACTCTCACTTTTCCTACACGCTTGCTCGACACTTCGGTGAATCACGAATTCAAAGCGCGTCTTTCGTTCGATGTTTTTACGCCGTAAGGAAGAGAGTCTAGATCCGGTTCAAGAGAAAAATAATCCTCGTAAGATCCGTCTAGAGCGTTAAAATTTTTCTGAATATTACGATTCCCTATATTCTGACGCAAGGGCTTAAGTTACATAACATTACAATGGTATCCAAAGACAAATTCCCTTTTAATCCGACTACGCATGTTGTATCATGCGTATATAATATCTTATATACTTGCTTATTATAAATATCAAATGTAATATTCATTCCAATTCCGCATACGCGCGTTATCTTCGATGTTTTCTTCGGTACTCGCTTTATCCCCACTCTTTCATACGTCACTGTGGGGCGTGGATTGTGGATGCATCTCTCTCTCTCCCCCCTCTCTTTTCTTTCTCTCTCTCTCTCTCTCTCTCTCTCTCGCTCCCTTTTTCCTTCTTTCTTATATTTTCCTTCCCTCCGTTGACAAGCTAAAGCTGATCGAAAGAACGTAGCACAAAATAATGAGTCATTCTTAACGTGTGCGAGGGTGCAAAAGCAAATGCACGACGTTTTCAACACGTCGAAAGAAAAACGGGCAACACCTACGCGTACGCACGTGTCAGAGCTATAGTACGATCTAACCAAAAGATACGAAGCGTGTGCGCGCAACTGACACTACACAAAGTGTTATCCCCGTACCATGCTATGTCTATGGCAACTTGTGAAAACCCAACTAAAGCGACTACCTTGTATCCTATGACTCATCGCGCTATAAATAGTATCGTCGTCACCAAACAATTCTCTCATTGGTTAACGATGGCGTTAAGACTATCGCCTGATTGGTCGAGCAAGCCGCGCTACTAGGAATTGACTCGCGCGTGCGCCCAAACCAATCTTCGACGTTCACGACGGAGGGACCGTTTGAACGTCGATAAACACATTTTAGGCTACATTTCCGTCATTTTTATCTACGAACAAATTATTCCGATCGAATCTCAACGTTCGTCGTTATCATATTTTCTATATAATCCAATTTCGAGGAAAGATTTCTATCACTGTTATCATAAAAATAACTTGTTTGATTGTTCGTTGATTTCGAAAATGTTTGCAATCGTTTGTTAGAATATCGATTATATAATCGTCGTATGAAATTTTTGTAAAATTAATTTTATACGCGATAAACGATCATCCGCTATTTAAAAGTGGAATGTTTTCAGAAGTTACGGCGAACTAACGAACGTTAATGGAGCACCAAATTATGCAACTAAATGCGATAGTCCAGAATGAAAGCAAACGGAAATATAGCTTAGTTTCTACGCCGACGTTCAAACGCTCCCTCCGACGAAAGTATTCAATCGCTTTGTGCGCATGCGTCGGCCAATTCCTAGTAGCGCGGATCGACCGACCAATGGGACAAGAAGAATGACGACACTGGTATCCAATGAAATGAGAAAACGCTGACGACATCGATATTAATAGTAACGATGAGTCATGGGATAAAAGCCAGTACCTTCAGTTGGTTCTTCACAAGTAGTCGAGACGTCGCGTGATGCGGAGCGTGGCGTCAGCCGAGTGCATTACGTTTACTATCAACAAAATCCTCCTCCTATAGGCGTGACACGCGTCGTAACACGTAGGAGTTGCGTATCAGCCATCTTCTTCCTTGTTACTTCTTACGTTTGGTGTATATCTTTTTTTCTCCCTCTCTCCATTCTCTTTCTGTTCATTCGATATCACACGCAACGAGGCGTGATTCATCATTGTGTACTCCGTTCCTTCGATCGACTTTTAAGCTGTCAATCGAGCCACGAGAGAATACGCACGTATTTAATTCACGCCCGATATAGTGACGTATCGTTGGAAGAAAGAAAAAAAAAATTAAGAGAAAAATACGCCGCTGTAGGAGTTAGAGAGCAACGCCTACGGTTAAGGTGTCACATACGTGACTGAATTTATTGATATTGTCTGCTGCGATAATCATTCTCATACTAGTGAAGAGTGTTATTTCCTATGTGGATATAAGCCTAGATAAGAGATCGACAGAGAGAGAGAGAGAGAGAGAGAGAGAGAGAGAGAGAGAGAGAGAGAGAGAGACAGAGAGAAAGAGAGAGAGAGAGAGAGAGAGAAAGAGAAAGACAATAAAAAAAGAAAGAAAGAAAGAAAGAAAAAAGGCCAACAGTTTGGAGGCCGTCGTCGAATGGTTATATAATTCCGTCCTTGAGATAGGACCGACAAAAAAAGAAAAAGAAAATACAACGCGTTACAGTTAACAAGCAATAAAACCACCCACGCGACTTCTGTCAGCCGGATTTGCCCTCGTCCTTGCAACGTACTATCCTAAGCAAGAGTAACCTAAACGCGTCCTGAATTTCCAATTCATCGAAACGTCGAACGGATCCGACGAGGGTGCGTGCCTTGACTGAAAGGCTGAAGGAGGAAAAGAGGGGAGAACGAGAAAGAGGGGGAGTAACAGAACTAACGAGCGAGTGAGAGAGAGAGAGAGAGAGAAAGAGAGAGATAGATAGAGAGAAAGAAAGAGAGAGAAGGGAGTGCGATTGTGTGTGCAGACCACGAGTGCGGGCGCGCACTGTATAAAAGTAGAGGAGAGGGAAGGAGGGACGACCTTCGACTTGTCATCGGCGAAAGACTGTCTCGTGGCACCGATGGTGCGAAACTTGACAATGGATCAAACATTTTACGAGGACGCTACGAGCGTTTACGGTGTTGTAAATCGTGAAAATAATAATATGGGCCAACCGAAACGTAATTTAACATTAGATCTGAACAATTGTCAGAGACAAGGGCAACAGGCAAAAAGACCTAGATTAGGTCCTTTACCGACAACATTGAACAATGTTGCGCCGATATTGAGCTCGCCGGATTTAAATATGTTAAAACTCGGATCGCCGGAATTAGAAAAATTGATAATCGAACAACAGGATGGTAGTGGGGGTATTGTTTCATCCTTACCGACTCCAACGGCACAAATATTATTTCCAAAGACGGTTACGGAAGCTCAAGAACTTTATGCTCGTGGTTTCGTAGATGCTTTAAATGAGCTACATCATTCGGATAGTTCCCAAGAACCTGGTAGCTTACACGGAGCTACTTACACGACTTTGGAACCACCCGGTAGCGTACAAAGCGTCGGCACGGAGTCCTCGGTGAGTCAGGGACTAATGCAAATAAAGGATGAACCTCAAACGGTACCTAGCGTTTCAAGCTCGCCGCCTATGTCACCGATAGACATGGAAAATCAAGAAAGGATCAAACTCGAAAGGAAGAGGCAACGAAATCGCGTTGCCGCTTCCAAGTGTCGCAGGCGCAAACTCGAACGTATTTCCAGGCTGGAGGACAAGGTCAAAGTTCTCAAAGGCGAGAACAGCGAATTGAGCGCGGTCGTACATAAACTTAAGGAACACGTTTGCCGGCTTAAGGAACAGGTGATGGATCACGTACAATCTGGCTGTCAAATTATGACGGTTTCGGGCCAGTTTTGAAATGAAAAAAATTAACGCAATTTGTTAAAGGTCTCTCCGTCGCGACAGAAAAAAAAAAAAAAGAAAAGTGAGGAGGAATTAATTTAATCCTTTTATTTAATACGCAAGTTCAATCTACGACACAAGTACAATCCTTAACGATGAGAATAAAGTTAAAACTTTCTTGAGGTTTGTTTATAATCTCACATATATTCGTTATTTTTTTTATGGGATGCATAAAAAGATACACGAATCACAAGGATGACAGCTTTCCTTCTTTCTTTCTAATTTCTTTATTCTTTCCTGTTTGCGAAACCGTGAAGATACAATATCGTTTATTATTATTATTATTAATATTATTATTATTATTATTATTATTATTATTATTATTATTATTATTCTTTTTCCTTCTCTCTTTTACTCGTTTATCGATGCGCAATGACGAAAGAACGAAGGAAAAACGAGCCAAGGATTTGTGCTAAGGCTTAAAGTAATGACGCGAAGGACGTTTGAGATGCTTATATTTCGATCCTTTTGTAAAAGAAGCTACGCGTTAAGAATCGGGAATCGAAATATATATATATATATATATATATATATGTATATATGTATGTATGTATGTAAGACGGGTATATACTCGTTAAGAGTTGTTAGTGCTCGAGATGCAATATAACTGAGCGTGCACGTGGGATAATACGTCCTTGAACGAGTGAGTGCGAACAATGCTGCAAAGAGATAAAAAGAAAAAAAAGTATCTACCTCTTCTCTCAATAAAGGATATAATATAAAGAGGAATAAGCATTTACGCAGCGCTTTCGAAGTAAACAACAAACAAACATATTTACTCCTTTATGAAAAATATTTTCTTTTCTTTTATCTTTAATCGACTAACGCACTTTGTTTATATTTATATATATATATATATATAAAATGCTTTTTCATTCAAAATTATTATTTTTATTATTATTAGTACTATTATTATTATTATTATTATTAGTACTATTATTATTATTATTATTATTATTTTTATTATTATTATTATTATTATTATTATTATTATTATTATTATTATTATTATTATTATTATTATTATTATGTGTATGTACATTCTAAAACTCTGTATCATTCTATTATCTGCATCTAGTCTTGTTCAATGGACAACTTCAAAATGGGCGCGAAAATACAAAAAAGCAAAAAGCATCCAAAGTACATTCATAGATATATGTATTTATATATATATATATATATATATATATATATATATATATATATATATATGCATATGTAGACGTAGTTAGAAAGATCAGAGTCTAATTTGATATTCGAGACAATTATTATAGATGGAAGTGAATAACAAAAATGAAAGTATTGCAGAACGAATGATTTCATTAATTTTGATCGATCATTTTCTATTCCATAATGTAGGGAAAAATTTTTTTTTTTCAATTGAAATTTTCTTCTTTCTTCAAAATGAAATAATGCAATTTTGCGAGGCGTTACAAATCGTCTATATTTTTGCGACTTATCAGACTTTTATGAGGTTAATATAATGAAAAGGAAAGTTGGGGGATGGAGAAAGGAAAAAAGAAAGAATGATAAAGAAAAAGATATAGAAAGAGAAAGAACAACTAAAGAAGAAATTTGTAAAGCCTTTTGTCTCTCACTAATGCGAGTCATTACAAATGGTGTGCCTTGTATGCATTAATGCGTCGCGAGAGGAGTAATGTTCAAAGATCGTCCGTATATAATATGTGTGTACGCATATATATATATATATATATATATATGTATATACGTACACATATGCTTCTTAATTTCAACGTTTGCCTTTTTACATTGTATTTAAATCGATCAATAATATATGTAAACGTACAGTAATAAGACAAGAATTATTTTGATGCTTGGAAAAAAACGAAATGAAAAACGACGCGTAATGCCAAGCTTTCGTATTTAATGATATATATGGCGAAGATTTTTATTGACAATTATAAGTATAGACTGCAAATTGTATAGATGATGATGATAATGATGATGATGATGATGATGATGATGATGATGATGATGATGATGATGATGATGATGATGATGATAATGATGATCATAATGACGACCATAAGGAACTGGTGAAACAAATTTATGAAAGTTAATAATGACATGTGATTTAGTTAGTAAGTTTAAAAAAGCCACATTAGAATTTATAGCGGTATTGGTGCTTAGAAGACGATTGTCGCCGTGCAAGCACGCGTAGATATACGATTCTATATATATATATATATATATGTATGTATGTATATATATATATATAATATATTATAATATAACACAGTATCTATATATATATATATATATATATATATATATATGTATATATATAAATATATTATATATATACACATATACACTGTATATGTTCAGACAAAGCTGAAGTCTTTTTTTACGAATAATTTTATTTTTGAATGAAATACAATGAAAATAAAATTTCTTTATATTCAATTCTTAGATTTTTGAAAACTTATTGATTCCTTTTATTCCCCAAAAGGATTATATTTTTTAAGAATTTGAATTCTTTTACCGATATTTTGAATTCTTTTTTTTTTTTTTTTTTTTTTTTTTTTTTTTTTTTTTTTTTTTTTTTCCCTTATTTTTTCGTTTGTTATGAAATCTTTCGCCAGAGGGGGCTAACCTGCGAAATATACGGGGAAATGTAACAAATTCGTGTTTTAACATTAATAGCGAATAATTTAATTTGTTTTTTTTAATTACTTAGTGAAAAATTAAATTTGAAATGAGCAAATTCATTTCTTTTTTTTTCTTGTTTTATTTGTCGATGAAAAAAATAAAAACGATGCTTTACTTCATCATTATGAAGAATATTTTTTTCATCAGCTAATGTTACATCATTTCATTTTATATTTCGTTAATTTTTCTTATAGAATATATTTGTTCAGATAGATTATTTTTTTTTAACCGCATAATTTCCTTCCCATGTGCAATTTAAAATACGAAGAAGAAAGTCCAGATGTATTCATGAAGAATTTAATTATTACTGTAAGTAACCCATTCAAGTTATTATGTGACTCAAATTATCTTTATTTACAGCCAACAAAACCTTTAACACGTCAGTCAATAGTACTCAAATTTATTACAAAAGTTATATTAGTGTCAATATAAATAAACTATAAAGTTACGATATAATATATCTAAATGAATTACTGTGCGAATTCTTGTCGTCCCTTATTATTTTGTTATCTATTATTTATCTTATATAACAGTTTTGATTTAATTATGACAACGTTCATTTCGCATTAATTATCAATAGATTGTTCGTGATAAGACACATTAGAAAATTCGTCAATTTATCAATCAATCGTTATTAACAATTATTATAATATAAAATAAATAATACAAATAACCAAATGAAATTACCAAATAAATTTTCATTCTCATAGTATGAAATCTATAATAATGATATAAATATATATAAAGTATTTTCAAAGTTTGTCATAGTTTCATTTAATATTTCATCTGTGATAATGTAAAACTTTATGTTTTTATCATTATAATGTGTTTTTATAAAACAAATTATTTTTACATGTTTTTGGTAATAATTTTTTATATTATGTTTTGATAAAAAAAGAAAAAAAAAAGAAAAGAAGGATGACAAGAATCGCAAAAGCGTATAAAATAATTTGGTTTCAATAATAAATTACATTTTATAAGTCTTGTCCAATGAATGGAAAATATCATCTACTTACATCGATCGTTGATAGAAAAAGAAACTTAGTCAATGTTTTGAAACACTAAAAACATATAAGTTCATTATTTTATTACATAAATTATATTCATGAATAAATATAACAACATCATCAAAATAATTATGTTTCTGTCAAATAACAATTAGAATTTACTGAATTTCTAACAAACATAATTTTTAACTTATAATTTCATCAAGTTTACTACAATACAATTTCTTAACCAAGTATTATTTTCAAAAGTGATTAGATAGGAACTATTTATTGTTCCATAAATTTTTGTGAAATTCCTTAAAATATCATTATAATGATACATACATATTATAATGACACTCGAAATAACATATAAAACAAAATATTGATTAAAATTAGTAATTCTAATTTAATTCTTTTTCTTACATAAAGAATAAGTGTTTATTAAATATATTATTAGTGCAGATGTTAGGTTAAAGTATACTGTGCAATATATATTTATATCTTTAGTAAAATCTTTCTTTCTAAATCAAAGAGATCTTACATTATGTATATTAATTATATAAACAATATAAATTTTTATAAAGAAAATAATAATTGTATTACCAAAAACATGATATCGAAATTCTAGAAATTTTAAGAAAAGATCTTTTTATTTAGCTTGTACTATTTACATTAATGTTAAAAATTTGGATGGTTGTTTAATTGGACTCAATGTTGAACAAGGAATGTATTATTTATATGAGTTTGTTTACATTATGATTCCTAAAATAAGGGAGATCTTTTTTTACAATATCTATACCACATAATATTGTATCTAATGTGAATAAATACAATGTAGATAAAATGAGATCTCAAAGTTATAAAGTCAAACAATCTAAAAAGTGATAATTTTTGATAATTGAATTTTCACTGTATTTATCAATGAAAATATTGTGAAAAGTAATAAGATATTCCTTTAGTTTATAAAGTGGCGCCTTTAACATCAAAATACTTATTTCCTTTAATTTATTATCTATGCAAAGTGTTTAACTAAGTTGATTTTTATCAAATCACGATTAATTTGCACGATTTTGATTTCTCTTGTAATAGAAATCGATAGTTACTAATTTGCAGGTTTAGAATCTGCATACTCCTGAATATTTTAATAGTATCGTGGATTATATTTTCTCATATAATTCCATATTTAAGATATATGTACGTGAGATTATATTCACGTATTATACAATGAAATTGTTATGTGCGATACGAGATCATAAATTGTTAGTGTCAATTCAAATGGTTTCTCGTATGTAAAAAAAAGCTGTCTAATCCATGCGCCCTAATCCGATCAATTTTACACATTTATAGAGTTCCCCATTACGAAAACAAAACAAAAAAAAAAAAAAAGAAAAAGAAAGAAAACTATTGCTAATTACAACTTGGTAGATCCCGATATAATTTTTTGATATAGCTCGGGTGTAACTTCGACATATTCTTTATCTGATCGGAAATACACTTTATCTTGAATCTTATTAGGATCAAATCCTTCATTTTGAAGGCCAATTTTTTTCAATTTAAATGTACTTGTCATTTCTAATTCTTTGACAATCCTTAAGAAAATTGGTCTTGCGTAGGAAGGTAAAGCTTTATCTAAACCCTCAGCAAGTGCTTTAAAGTCTATTAAACTCTCAGGGTCTACTATTGCTGCCATTCCTGCTTTTCCTTCTACACCAGGTATCTTTAAAAATAAAAAAAAATAATATACAATTAAATTACTTTCATCAATTAAAAATAAATAAACGTAATAAAATATATTTCGTATGTATCAAAAATATTAAACCTGTACTCCGTAAACAGTTGTATCTCTATATCCAGCAACATTACTGATAACACCTTCCACCTCAGCAGTAGCAACATTTTCACCTTTCCACCTGAAAGTGTCACCTGTTCTATCCTTGAAGTAAAAGTATCCAAATTCATCCTGTATTAAAATGTCACCTGACAAAATAGAAATATACACGTGAGTATTTTCAAATGATAGAATCAATTATAAATTTTTAATAAATTTGATTTTACCTGAAAGAAATGCTTTATCACCCTTACAGAATACATTCTCTACTACTTTCTTTCGTGATGCTTCCTTATCCAAATATCCATTAAATTCTCTCTCTACATTTCCTTGTTTTATCAATCCTATTAGCATACCTGGTTCATCTAAAGAAGAAAATATAATTTATTAGCTCTTCTATAATACACATGCACACCTATACAAAATCTGAATAACTAAATATTACATACTTATTTCAGTTCGTATGCATAATCCATCTTTACCCCTAATTGGTTCGCACGTGTCAGGATTCACACGAATAAGAGCAACTGGATGAAGAAATTTAGGTAATATTGATGGAACAAAACCAACTGCTCCAACTTGATTGTCGACATTAACTGTACGTATAAAAAATCAATGAATTATATTATTTATATATATATATATATATATATATATTTAAAAGTTATGAAAATAATTTTATATAAAATAATCATTTACCAATATTAGCATTGCCTTCGCTCGATCCATAGACTTCCGTAATTTGTTCAATTTTAAAACGATCAACGAACTCTTGCCAAATTTGTGGTCTCATACCATTTCCGACCATTAGTCTAATCGAATGAGCTTTATCTTCCGGACGTGGTGGAGCTTTTAATAAATATCGACACATTTCGCCGATATATTGTGCCAACTAAAAATAAAAAAGAATTAATATTATATAATTAATACATATAACTATATATATTATATCATATAATATAAACATACCTATCATATTTATTAATTATAATTATTATATTAATTATAATTATAATACTTATTAATTATAATACTTATTAATTATAATACTTACCGTGCATTTATACTTGATACAATCAGTCCAATAAGCACTGACAGAAAATTTACTTCTTAAAATACTTGGAATACCTTTGGTAAGTGCACAACCTGTCCCTACTAATCCACCAGACATATGATATAATGGAATAGGATTATATAAAATATCACTATTCTTCTTCAATCCCAGCATATGATAAGTTGCCGTTATGACGAGTAGGAATCTGTTAATGAGACAATTTTTTTATTGCCTTATTTTCTTTTATATTTCTTTCTTATATCAATAATTATTATTTAATATGTAATAATTATTTTCTAAAATATATAATTATTGTAATTATTTAATACGATTTATTTTGAGATAATCGATTATAACAAGGAAGGATAACGCGAAATTTTTTTTTAATTCGTTAACCCTTTATAATAATTATTTTACTTCTTTTTTTTTTTTTTTTTTAACTAAAGAAAAAACAATCGGTTATAAATTTCTTTGATATAAATAGCTTTTCAAAGCTAATATGCTGAGACTCGTGTAAAGCGACTAGATCTACATTAATCCGATTTGCAAGCAGTCGTAAGACTTCTATGACAGGATTATGAATGGTTCATTATACTTGGTACTATACCTATGATTTATGTATCATGTATGGAATGCATACAATAATATATGTAAGCTAAATTATACTTTATCTATAAGATCTAAATTATACTTTATTTATAGGATATCGCTTTAATATATTAAAAAATAAAATAATCATATTTAACATTAAGTATCATACCTTGAATTTGGTACAATAGCCACTTTGGGTAAACCAGTTGTACCACTGGTATATATATACAACAAATCATCTTTATAACCAGGTTCATTATCAACATTTGGTTGTTTTATGCTAGCATCTGCTAATAGTTTATCCAAATTTTTAATATCCCCGTTATATTCTTCGAAATTGCCACCTTGTTTATACTTGATTATTCCTTCAATAGAATCTGAAATATCTTCGATTGCTAAAACAAGAAAATATTTTTATTTTTTTTATTTTTTTTTTTATTAATTTTTCCTTTCTCTACGAATCGGATTTAATTCCTATTCTAAAGAAGATGAAAAAAAAAAAAGTTGTCATTTACCTAAAGAAAATTCCTCGGTATAAATTATGCTTTTAACTTTTGCAACGGTCAGGCAATGGCTTAAACATTGTTGACGTAAATTGGTATTAATCAAAGCTGTTATCACACCTATCTTCCCCAATCCAAGCCAAGTTGCGATATATTCCGGTCTGTTAAGCATCAAAAGTGCTACGGCATCACCTTTACCATATCCAGCTTCTTTAAAAATATTTGCTATTCGATTACTATACTTGTCAATCTGTAAAATAGTAAGAAATAAGTCTATTGATTAGAATTTATTTTGATATGCGTTTATTTATAAATACTTAGAATATGGAATTTGAAACATTCAACTTTGAACTCTTTTAAAAAGTATTCATAAAAATTTTTTTATCGACATATCATATGGGTATATATATATATGGGTATATATATATATATATATATATATATATATATATATATATATACATACATACTTACATCTTCGTTTGTCCAAGTACATCCTTCGAAAATAAAACATGGTTTATCTGGATAAAGACGTGCTTGTTCTTGGAAAATTTTCATAACCGTTGTATTATTTCTAACGAAACTTTTCAGATCTCGATTAGCATTCACATACCGATAGAGGAATCTGTAGAAAAAGAAAAAAAGAAAAGAAAAAATAAATAAATAAAAAATTAAACATCGATTAAACTGGAATTTCATATGTATTTATATGAATTCTTCGTTGTTGTAAACTTTAACTCACCTCAAAGTAACGATTTTCAATGTATTTTTAATGTATATTTATAATACACATCATATACATATATATATATATATATATATTAAAAATATAATAAAAAATATATATTAATTATATAATAAAAGAATTATATATATATATACATGCATATATACTATAGAAAAAAATTCGTCTGCTTTACGGCATTGTAAAGCGATTGAAACAGGTGTTCGTAAAATATTTACACGAAGGACAAATTCCACGATGTAAGAGTAGGCTAAAGTAACGATGACGTTTCTGTATAATGATTTTACTATATATGATATAAAAGGTTTTAACGTGATGTATAACAAATGACTCAAGAAAAAATAAAAAGGAAAAAAATAATGCTGAAATTCATTATTATTTTTTACTTATCAAATGAAACGTTTTATGTGTATTCGCGTAAAATATACTTAAATATTCATTAATATTTATCGGTACGATAAGTGCATACTAATCGACTATTTCAATTTTATCTGAAGTTAAAATTCAATGCTTTTTAATTGTTTTCCTTTGTTCTTTTTTTTTTTATTCTTTTTCCTTTTTAAATTATCAGTACATAATATAACTTTATAGTTTCAATAACACGATAATAATATTTTTTAAATAATTATATTAATACTGAATTTGTAAAATATCGAAATTAATATCTATATATTTATATATATATATATATATATATATATATATATATATATATATATATATATTAATTTCGATATATATATATATACATATATATATCAATTTTTTGTATGTATGTATGTGTATGTTTAATATAAACACATGGAACAATAAATTTTCTAATTAAGATATAATAAAAATTAAAAGTCATTGGAAAAAATATATACATATATATATATATATATATACGTATATGTTGTAGTCAATATAGAAAAAAAAGTACAGTTTATCGAGAATGATAGCCTTTAGCTCGTCATCTTATGTCCCATTATTTCCGATTAGTTAGGAAACTAAAAATATCGTTTTAAAGTTCACTAGATAATTTTCTCAAGTGTTCGAATATTTTCTTATTTTTCTAAATTTATTCTGCAATATTAATTTATTTTTTATATATATATTTATATTTTATTTTATATTATTAATTTATATATTTATATATAAATATGAAAACATATATATTTTATGTAATATATGTTACATATATATATATATATATAAGAAAATTGGCTTTTATAAAGTATGCGACTTCATAGACATGTCGCATTAAAGCATGGATCGATAATATCTAAGTTGAAATGGCGAGACTGAATGTGATATTTTAGCGATAGAACTTAGGGATATTTTTTCTTTTTTTTTTAATATATATATATATACACACACACACACATATACATATATATATATATACATATATATATATATATATATATTGATTACCAAATCATCAAATATTAATTTTGATCTTGACATTAATCTTTAATCGTATCCTACTCAATCTTATATCTTATAAAGGTATATTTATTAATAAAGAGAGAGAGAGAAAGAGAGAGAAGAGGGTTGTACTTACTTGATATCCCTTGGCAGTGTCTTCAAAATGACGTAGAACTTTCGATGAAACTTGCAAATTAATGGGATAAGGGTGGCGGCCAAAAGTATTTGAGCAATTCTTCCTAAAAATCCGATCCTTGCTGTTAAGCCGGTGGCCATTAAACCGACAATAGCAAAAACAAGAAGTAACCTGATGTCCATTTTAACTGGGTCACCTTATGTGAAAAGTGTGCAGTTGTATAATCCGAAAGCTACGCTGCGCTCCCTTAAAAGCTACTCTGAATCGACGCTACTTCAACGCCACTATAAAACGGAGGGTTGTGGCACTATTTCTTTTTTACTGAAAAATGGTCTTGCTGATATAAATATTATCAGCACATCGTTATTACTGCAACGCAAATAGATCGAAAGAACTTATTATATATTTAATGTATATAAATATATATATATATATATATATATATATATATATATATATATTACAATAATACTTTATTATTAATAATATATTGTAATATAAAATATTTTACAATAATAATTTATTATTAATAATTCGTAAATTAGATATTACGTTGCATCATACAAATCTGTTAAAAAAATATTCTACCTAAGGGTATAACTTTGTATAAATAACTTTACAATCGTAAAAAGTAAATACGAGCTTTTTTTTTACAATAACATTACCTAGGTTATTACTAAGTCTATAGTTTTTTATAAGTTGGATATACTTTCCTGACATGTCTCATTAAATTATTAGTTTTTTATTAAAGTTTTGATAAATTAATACGTGTAACCAAATTTATGAAAGTCAATGAGAAATTTTAACGAACTATAAAATCATCAGTGATTTGTACAATTATCCTCCAATTATAATCATTATTGATAAGTTTTGATAATTTTATAATTTGTATAAATGCTCGATTATATTTCTTAAATAAGCATTATTATGAAATCAATATTTGATAATATATGTCATTAATTTTCAACTTACATTTTTTAATTTATATAATGTATGATATGCATAAGTATATATTTCTATTATATATCTCATCTATAGATTAGAGCAATGATAAAAAGAAATGATCTCTTTCTCTCTCTCTCTCTCTCTCTCTCTCTCTCACTCTCTCTCTCTCTCTTTCTCTCTCCCTATTTCTTTATAAGTCCTTATTCGTATCCACTTATTTTCATATTTTCTATCTTTAATACTACTTCTCTGGTAATTTTAATATACATATACAGTCATTGAGAAAGGATGTGATTAAAATAAACGTATAAAAAATATTTGTAAATCAATTGCAATAAGCAATTGTTGTTTCATTTAATTAGAGATAATAAAAAGTAGTATAATTATTGATTGCATACAGAAAATAGAAAAGTTTTATTCTAAAAATTAACAAATAACAAGTAAAAATTTTCACCACGTTATAATATCCCATACATATACTTTACACCATATGAATATTATCTTCCTCTCTATATCTCTCATGAAACATCTTATATAGGTAAAAAAAAAAAAAAAAAAAAAAAAAAAAAAAAAAAAAAAAAAAAAAAAAAAAAAAAAAAAAAAAAAAAAAAATAGAAACATAGGAAACTACAATTGTTACGAAAAGCTATTGGTATACCGGGAAAAATTGTATTTCTTAATTTAAATTAAATTGTTATGTACAAACATAAATAGACGAAGGTATATCTCTATACACATATATAAGGAGGTCCAAAATAATTGGTAATAACTTTAAAACTTGTAACTTCATGTATCATCAACGAATTTGAATTATTATTATTATAATTATTATTTTTTTTTTCTATTTTTTTATTAATTAATAATTAAAATTCACAATTTATGAAATTACAAACTTTGAAGTTATTGACCTTTTATTTTGGACTACCCTGTATATCCACATATAGATTATTGTAATATAATATAACAGTGTACGTTGTGAAAACATTCACATGACAAGCAATTTTATCTTTGTCATTCTATTCATTATTATACATACATATGTATATATGTATATATATAAAAATGAAACAAGTAGTTTGACTTTCTCCATTTATGTGGTAAATAGTAAAGATTTAGCATAGTTAAATCGATTTATCATAGCATATATAAGCAATAAAGAGCATTATATATAACATATGACATACATTTTTCTGATTTCATTCCAAGATGTCATCTTCTCAATATCATTTATTCTCGATTTTTCTTTGTATCATTTATTGCAACAATTTTATAATTTAATTTTTCCTCCTTGAATTTCATCGAATATTTCTTTCGTTAACACCTGATATCCCAATTTGGGATCTAAGTAATATAATTTGTCTTGTATTCTTTTAGGATCGAAGCCTTCTTCTTGTAAATCCTTTTTCTTCAATTTAAATGTACCTACAAAAAAACAAAATCAGAAATTACTTTATCAAGAAATGAATATATTAATTATTAATATAATTAATTAATTATTATATTTAAATAATTTATATTATTTATCATTTACTTGTGAGATCAACTTTCGATAATATTCGAAGAAATTGAGGCCTAGCATAAAACGGTAATTGATCTTTAATATTGGATGATAATTGTTTTAGATTCAATGTGTTTGTTTCGTCACAAATAGCAGCCATACCAGCTCGTCCTTCTGTACCATGAATCTATATAATGATAGCAATTATAAGTTTGTTTTTATTATCTCGTAAAAAAAAAAATTATGTAATATATATATACGAATCAGTGATTATGAAAGTAATTATATATTTTTTGTTCAGAGATATTTTTAAAAATTTGGATTTGTATTATTCAAAAATTATTTTTCGACAATAAAAAAAAAAAAAAAAAAAAAAAAAAATGAATAAATATATATTCATTCTTGAAAAAAATAATTCTCTTATATAACTATAAAATCTTAAGAATGAATAGCCCTGATACGAGAGACAAATTTTTATAATTCCTATCTTTCATAATCACCGACAAATATGTCCTTGTATATATAAATAATTATATATTTTTTTTTTTTAGAATTACCTCAACACCGTAAATTATACAATCTTTATAATTTATAAAATTACTAATTATGGCTTCGACTTCGGACGTTGAAACATTTTCTCCTTTCCATCTAAACGTGTCACCGGTTCTATCTTTGAAATAAAGATATCCCAATTCGTCTGCTACAAGAATATCACCTGAAATAAAATATTTTCTTTAGAATCAAACAAGAACATAATTAAGATATTAATTTTTTTATGATATATGTATACATATATATATATATAAATATATATTTATACCAGATATAAAAGCAGAATCGCCTTTAGTGAAAACATCGCGTACGATTTTATTCTCCGATGCTTTTTTATCCACGTATCCCAAAAATGCTCGTGTCGGGTTGTTAGATATAATTTTTCCAATGAAAACACCAGGTTCGTCTAAATGAACAAAGAAAATAAAATAAAATAAAATAAAATAGGATAAAATAAAATAAAAACCTAAAAGAAAACAATACAACAACCATTTGAAAAGCAGTTAATCCAAATAATCCACTTTATTCGCCACGATAATTTCTAAAATTCAAAGTTATACAAAATGTAATAGCATTCGATCGATTATTTTTTATAAAATTTAACTTACTTGGACCACAAACTTGACACAATCCTTTGGCATTTCTTATTGGTTCACCTTCAGCATTTACTTTAATAATAGATATTGGATATACCGATGTAATAATTCGTGATATGAATCCAATAGCTCCAACAGTATTATCGATGTTTACTGGAAGAAATATATAAAATTATTTTTTTTTTATCTAATAGTTAAAAAATCTTATTTTTCAAGTGACTTTTTACTCGCAATCAAGAATAAATCTGTTACGTATTTATATAATCTTTTTTCCTTTTTTTAATTTGACTTTCTCTTACCGATATTCGCATTACCCTCGGTAGCACCATAAAATTCAATGACCTGAGGTATATTAAAACGTGCTACAAATTGACTCCATATTTGTGGTCTAAGTCCATTACCAAAAATCATTCGAATATTGTGTTGTTTGTCTTCAGATTTTACAGGTACTGCTAAAATGTAACGACACATTTCTCCTATATATTGTGCGATCTATAAAAAAAAAAAAAAAGAAAAAAAAAAGAAAAAAAAGAAAAAAGAAAAAATGGATAATTTTTCACTATATTCATTAATATTTCTTTCTAGGGATATACCGATTAAAAGATCACTAATCATTAAAGAATTATTATATTACCGTGCATTTGTACTTAACGCAATCGTTGAAATAAGCACTAGCAGAAAATTTTTTTCTAATCACAGTCGTATTTCCATGTAATAATGCTTGACCTATTGACATAATACCACCCGCTGTATGATACAAAGGTAATGGTGTATATAATATATCGGAAGATCTCATTTTAGCTATGATATTAATTCCACTAGCGATGAATATAAATCTATATAAAAAAAAAAGAAATAAAGAAAAAAAAAAAAGAAAAAAAAAAAAAGAAAGAAAGAAAAAAAAAGAATAATAAATGATTTAATCATCAAATGGGAAATTGTTTCTTATCGATTTTCTCATTTTTTCTCACCTTGAATTAGTTATTACAGCAGCCTTTGGAAGACCAGTAGTTCCACTGGTATAAATATATAATAAATTGTCATGATAACAACTTTTGTCCTGTGGTATTGGTGACACTGTAGAAACCTCTGATAAAATATTTGTCAAATTTTTTGCCTTTAAATATTGCGTAGATTCTACAGTTGTCTCATTTCCATACTTGTAGAGTGCTATATTTGCATTGAGTGTATTAACAATATCCGCGATGACTACATTTGTGTGAATTATAAATATGTATTATTGATTTCTTTTAATAAAATTCTTTGTAGAAATATATATATATATATATATATATATACCTTCGTCAAAGTCAGAACTATAGATCAATGCTTGACATTTAGCGATGTTGATGCTATGTAATAATGATGATTTACGAAGATTAATATTAATCAATGACGTTATTATGCCTATTTTACTTAAACCGAGCCAAATTCCAACAAAATCTGGACGATTTTCCATTAATAATGCTACCACATCTCCTTTTTTATAACCATGATTTTTAAACGTCGTTGCAACTTTATTACTGAAGTCTTCAATCTATAAATATAAAAATGAAAATGCAAATTAAAACAAATATAAAATCGAATATATATATATATATATATATATATATATATATATATATATATGAAAATTAATCGATTATTAGCATACTTGCTGGAATGTCCATTCTTCATCTTCGAATATGATGCACGTTTTATTGGGATGCCGTGCAACGTGTTGCCGAAATAGATCGGCAACGCTTTTATTTTTTCTTTCATGGCCACGAATTAACCAAAGAAGTTTAATATATCTTAGCAAACCTCTGCAAAGGTCAAAAAAAAAAAAAGAAAAAAAGAAACTAATTATACATAAGAAATGTAAAGGACAAAAAATTCTGTTATAACTCAATGACATACGAACAATAACGCATGTGAATCATCATTAATTTTACGATCACCAATCATTAATTCTTTAATCATAATTTACAAACATTAAAGAAGTGAAAAAAAAATTGTTTGTTGAAAGGACTGAAAGAAAAATAAAAAGCAGATCAAAGAACTACGAGGAAAATGCCGTAAAAAGAATGGAATATTATTTCCCTTCTAATGTCGGTAAAAAAAAAAAAAAAAAAAAAAAAAAAAATTATCGTTCGATTGAATTCAATACTGTTCGATTGCGAAACGAATTCTCACATTTCCAACATTTTCCATTCGTACATCTCGAACTCATTGCTAAACGTAAGTGATATTGGTATTATATGATAGAATGAGTATACAAGATTCTGACAATGTCATTATATCAATTATGAATAATGAAAATGAAAATTATCAATTAATATATACTACATACATATATATATATATATATGTATATATAAATAAATAAATATGATTATTCGAAATTGAATAATGAAACTTTTGTAAATCATAAAACCGTTATGTTGACCGATCAGAGAAAGCCGGCTGCCTAACGGTATTTCAAGTTATAAGATAGAAGAGAAGAGATTTTCATATAGTTAAAATAAAATAAGAACTGTTATTGTGATAGGAGGGGTGCGGGGGGAGGGAGAATAAAAGAAAGATAATATTTTTCAAATGATACTTATCAAATGTATACATACATATATTATGTGTATTGAAATTACGTAATAAGAGTATGAGAGTATATTCATTATATATATATATATATATATATATATATATATATATATATATATTCATTATATATTCATTCAAATATATACACATATATATATATATATATATATATATATATATAATACAGAGAATATATATATATTCTCGGTACACAAAGTGGGTCAAAAGTTTTTAAAAGATTTAAAAAAATTGATTATCCTTTTCTTACATTTTAAAAATTAATATCTTCTTTTCTTTTACTTTTTTTTTTCCCTTATTTTCTTCAGATAAAAAAAACTATAATTAGTTAATTATTCCGAACTGATTATAAAATGTCTACTTAAAAAAAAAGAAGAGAAAAAAAAACGGAACAAAAAGGGAAAGAAAAAAAAAGTAATTAGTTTTTAAAATCATTCAAGTATTATGTTGATTTATCTAAACGCACATGCATATAAAGAATATTTTTTATTTACTTACTTGACATCACGTGGTAATGTACGGAAGGCAATATAAAACCATCTTAGACGACCACCAGCAACAAAGTATGCAACGATCACAACAACAAAAAGTTGTAGAAGAAACATGTGGCCGATGTAAAATGTTAAGAAGGCCAACGAAACTGCGATAAATGTTATTAACAGCATGACTAGGATTAATTGACGAAGAAAACGGCCAATTGTTTGACAACGTGTTGGTGGTAAAGAGTTTCTACATCCACCAAGTATGTTCCCTACAGTCTGCGTACTACCAGATAAAGTTGTCACATCTACCGGTTTTTCTTCTTCTTTTCCCTCTTCAAGATTGACTACTACTTCGTTCGTACTCCGGACTTGCGACACCGATGCCGTTGTCGTCATCGACGTTGCCTGTAATCGGTTCAATGATTCCCCTACTCTTGTATGGATTTTGCCCCTCTCTACGTCCTGCAATATGAGAAAAGTATTTTCCTTTCCTTTTTCTTTTCCCCCTCCTCATTCTCTTCGTTAATTTTTTTTTTTATTTTTTTTCTTTTCCTCTCTTTAATATTATCTTTTATTTTTCCTCCATTATATTGTTATACACATATATTGGCTAATGATTGACTCTCTTTAACAATTATTATTGAAACAATTAAATTATATATATTGTGATTTGATGCTTTTAAATTCTTGACAATTTTTTATTGTTAGTTTTGTATTTTTCTTTCTTTTTTTTTTTCTCTTTTTTTTTTTTTGTTTTTCTTCCTGTTCTTCGTAGACTCGTCACGTGACTGCAAAAGGACAACAGAATTTTTTTTATTAATCATAACCCGTTTTTATTTTATTATTATTTCTCACTTTTTTTTTTTTTAATATACATATTTTTCATTCTTTTTACTAGCTTTTTTCTTTGTCCCTTTTTCTTTTATGTATGCATTTGTAAATATAATTATATAGTAACTGCATTGATACTACTTGTTATGTTCTATTTTTTGTCTCTCCAATTCTTATTATCTTTTGCGTGTTTCTTTTTATAAATATAGCAATAACATCGCATATACTTTATTTTTAACTTTTTTTATCTTTATTATATTGCCATTTGCATATTATCAAATTTTATGTATATAAGTATGCAGTTATATTTTAAAAATAACGTTACGTATTTTTATTGCATCTCATTAATACACAATATACTGAAATATATAAAGATGATTGATATATTTTGTATATGAATAATCTGCACGGTCGTTGGTTGAAGAAACATGAAATCGTAGAGAGAGAAAGAGAGAGAGAGAGAGAAAAAAAAAGAGAAAAAAAGAGAGAAACTAAGTGAAAGTTAAAACGACAGAAATACATTACGAGTTACTAGTTACTTTGCTAAAGTGCTTCGTCATTATTGATAATTTTTTCATTTTTTATTGTTTCCCATCAAATGTAACATTTCAGATAATGAATAAAAATATCAAATGATTTTGAATGTTTAATTATGCCAGAAAATTCCAGGTAGCGCGCTCAGAAATATTATATATGTAAAGATATGATAGAAGATACACGTCAGCTAGCATTAAATTGTGATGCTGTTTCGTGATTAATCAATCAAAGCTTATTTATAGCTGTTAAGCAAATTATCAAAAGACGATATCTACATTATTCATGTCACATATAATGTATATATATATATTTATACATATATATACATTTATATATATATATATATATATATATATATATATATATAGTTATATTATATATAATATATCTATTTACCAATATATGATTAATAATTAATCTCATTCAAAATTCATTTTATAAAGACTATTATTTGCCAATAATATTTCTAATTTGATATTGCGTGTATGAGCCTGAAATAAGAGAATAAAATAAACGTTCTCGTTAAATACGTACGTGCACGTACCTATAATTATCAAAATGATCATTTATATCAGGTCGATAGTGTTAAAAAGACAGCTTTAATGAACACGATATTTATCGTTTCATACACGTCACATCATTGCAATTCTTTATCGTGGTTTTTTGATTGTGAATATTCGCATCATTAACGGTTGCCCTCAACTACTACCAGTTGTGTTTATGTAACAGGACATAGCTCATTTACTCATTCTTACAATTCGTTTGTTCGTTGATTCGCGTTCGTTCATTCGTATTCATTCTTACGTATATTCTTATAATTTTCTTTCTATTTCTTTTTTCCTCCTTTTCCATTTTTATTTTCTACCATAACATATATATATATATATCATATATATGTATATATACGTATAATATATACATATGACAATAGAAAAAAAAAGTATGCGTTGAAATTGTCGATACTGTTTTCCATAAACTATACTGCTCAACTGTAATTTAAAGTAATTACATTATAATTAAATTCTACCATATGAACTATGAGAAACTTTATCCTCTAATTTTTTTTTATCAAAGATTTAATATAAATATGAATATCGAATGTTGACTGTCTAGTTCTACAATTCTGTTCTTGATTTATAAAATATTTTTATGACAATATTCATATTATATCGACATTATATAATTTTAATGGAAAACTATATGATGAAAGAATAACATTGAACATAGAGTGAAATAATATAGATGACAAAGAAAAAAAATAATATATCAATAATTGTTAAAGTTTTATTTAACGATAAATAACAATATACTAATAAAAGAAGATCGTATGAGCAAATAATTCTCAATTAATATAATTAACAAAAAATAATAATAGTTAACATAAAATTGTCATATTGTTTAGTACAAAATAATTATAAAAAAAAATGTTAATAACTTGATACACATATATATATATATATATATATATATATATATATATATATTATGTATAAGAAGAAACATTGTATATTTGTTTACTTACTTAATACTACAAACTTGTTATGTAAATAAAGTAAACGTAAAGTTAACCTAATTATAATTGATGAACACAAGAAAGCGTTAGGTAAAGCACGATATAATTATCACAGAAAAAGTATGACCTCATTTCACAAACAACTATATCTATACAGTTAAATTTATGCCATTAAACTAAGTTACACATTTACAGATTATAACGTTTATCAATTGTAAAATAAAAAAGGTACACTATTTCAATAGATGCTGAAATTTTGGTAATGAAATATTAGTTTCGTCAATATACCACCAGATGGTGCGAGGATGCTAGAGTCTAATCATAAGAAAAAAAAAAAAAAAAAGAAAAAAAAGAAAAAAAAAGAAAAAAAAATGGAAGAAAAAAAAATAAACTCATATAATTAAAATAATAATAACATTTATGATATAATCTCAATTAACATATTAACATATTTAGAAATAATAAAGTGTTGAAAAAAAAAAAGATTAAAAATTCAAATACGTTTTACATTATAAAGTTATATGAATAATTATTATAATCGCTACTTGGCAAATAATAGGTCGAGAAAGTAAACATGAATAGGTCTAGAAACTCTCCTTTTATCCGCTTTCATCTCTTTCAGGAGTAAACTGAAGTTAGAAAATCTCTTCGACACTATGTTGTCCTCCTTGTTAATTGGAGAATACACTTGCTTTCTTTTTTCCTTTCTCTAACGGATTATAACGCATCATATCCGTTTTCTAATGATATATGAAGTACACAAAGTACAATATAACAACAAAATTTTATAAATCATTATTAAAAAAAAAAAAAAATATATATATATATCTCTCTGAACATATATCTTTTTTTTTCGAAACTTAAAGAAAAATACGTAAATTTTCTTTATTCTTTATCGCATTATTATTTCAGAAAAAAAATGTTACATCAGATTATTTATTTATTTTTATTGTATGCAAGAAATCTAAATTATATAAATGGTGCCGTTAATGATACGAAATTATTAATTATTAATTAGACGATACGAATGTTTAATCTAATATATGTTAATTTATATATGTTAATTTTGTAATATTAAAAATCAGAATTTTTAATGTAACATAATATTCCCCGAAATTTTCGTAAGTTAATTTTTTCCTTTTCTGACTTTAATTAGCTCAATTTTGTGATTTTACAATTGACAAGTTTTACGATTTACGATCTAAATAAAAAAAAAAAATCAGCTTTAAAAATCTCGAAATACGATAAATGATTTTTAATATCATTTAGTAGATTATTTTTGGTCTACATCATTATGTGTGTATAACAAGATCTTTTAAATTTGAACGCAATAAACGATATCGATAATAGAAAATGTTAATTCTTTTGATTTCCATTCTTTTGTTTTGTTTTGTTTAATACGTAATCGTAATAAAAATACCAAGATTAATATATTTCCCCAATACTTACGCGATTTTTATCATCGATCATGTTCAATACAACGCTATTCCCATTTTCAACATTATTGACGGACATCTTGAAAATTATATTTGAAAAAATGAATCCTCTTGAAGAATAAAAAGAAGAAGAACAAACACTAACTAATAAAAATACAAAATAAAAAATAAATTGATCTAAAGCAAGCTCGTTTGATAAATGATGATGTTATAAATCAGCTCGTATTGCACTATAAATTCCTTCACTTTTGATATATTTTCACGAAATAAACTTAGGAATTGAAGTACTGTTTTAGGATTTAAAAGTTTTCATTTGAAATTAAAATCAATGAATAAACACAATGAGGTATTATGAACGTTTTTCGATTCGAATAAATTATTCCATTGTCCTTTTGCACTCACGTACGATATTAATAGACATGTATAATTCTTTTTTAACAGTTATTAAGCGTCTATGTTATATTATTATTATTATTACTATTACTATGACTATTATTATTATTATTATTATTATTATTATTATTATTATTATTATTATTATTATTATTATTACTTTATGCTCCTATGTAGAAAGTTTAGAGAAAACGTAAAGAGAAAATAAAAATGCGAGAAAAAAAGAAAAAAACAAAAAATATAAATAAATACACGTAAAAGGAGATATAACTGATAAAAAACGATTTATTAAATAAAAAGAACCGATATATGTATACGAAGATACGTGTATCGACTGTAAATCGTCTACGAGTAAACTAAAGAGAAAGAGTTTCCTACATCGACCTACCTCAGCCGAGTATATCTCCCTCCTTCATTCTATGATCGTGGCATAAATACTCTCAAAAACCTGTATACTTTTCAATCATTTTTTATGCTCATTCAACTTAACGAACTGAAACCAATGAAAAAAAAAATAAATAAATACATAAATATTTACCTTTCATAAATATATATTATATTTATATGTAGATAAATGTATTTGTTTATAAATGTATTATAAACAAATAAAAAGATTATACGTGAATGTATATGTATGTATACATTAATATGTATGTATGTATGTATACATTAATATGTATATATGTATGTATACATTAATATGTATGTATGTATGTATACATTAATATGTATATATGTATGTATACATTAATATGTATGTATGCATGTATACATGTGCACGCGCGCGTGTGCGTGCGTTTATGTGTGTGTGTGTGTGTGTGTGTACACGGACGAATGTACCGGAAAAATAAAATCTTGCATATATTTGAATTCTTCGGTGTTATTAGGTCATCTTTTTCTTATCTCATCGTTATACGAGAAAAAAAAAGAAATGAAGATTTGAGCTATTTGTTAAATTATTCATTATACAGATATTATTAATTATACGAAAAATTTAAATAAAACTTTGAAAGTGTTATTAAATTTATAATATACTTGATTTTTGGATAAATATCATCATCGTTTCCTGTAAAAGAATGTAAAAGAATTTTTTATGAATTATAAATATTTCATTTCCTTTTAACATAATTGACATATGAATCTATTTTTATTATTCATCTATAATTGTGTACGTAAGAACCTTATTTTCATTAATTCCTTGCCATACGATTTAATTTTTTATATCGTATGCCACAAATGATAATAATGTCACACGTCGGGCCATTCATAGGTTTGCCAGAGCGTTTTTTATTCACGTTTTATTTACATTTGACACAATCATCTTACTACGTCTCTGATAGGTCTTGATGTTTGGCCCGGTCGACATATCATGTCTCTGACACGACATTGTAAGCTAGTTAAAAATAAATTGTAACGTGTGAAAGTACACATATCTTATATTATGATTGTTCAAATTTTTATCAACAAAAAATTTGTCATTCTTATGTTGATTACTTAGAAAAATTTGTTAATCAATATCTTTAATAGATAAAAAAGAAAGAAAGAAAAAAAAAGAACAAACTGTTGTGTTCTGATTGGTATAAAATGTATTTATATGATTTTTCTTTTCTTTTATACAAAAATCATAAAAACATTTTGAAAATTTTATATTTATATATATATATATTTTATCTTATTTATGTATATGGATTTTCTTATTTTTATATAGAAATTAAATTATTGTCTAATTAATATCATTATTCGACTAAATATCCTGTTAAAATATAACCACCTGTATCGCTCGTTAAAATATCTGGATGTGTCCTATCTGGTAATATCTGATATGAACGTAAGAAATTTGAAAACAGTCTTAAATTCACTACATTCTGTGTTTGTTTAAGAGCTATGTACGTTTCCTGTAATGGTTCTCTATAAGCATGAAAAATTACAAATGGTCTAGATGCACCAAGAAAAGGCAACAAAGATTTGATGATGTTTAAAGGATGTTCTTTGGCCACAATAATTAAACCTCGAGCTTTAGAACCTTTCAAAAGATCCAATGCATATTGCGTTTCTATTAACCATTTTGGTTTTTTAATAGGTTCTGTTTCAATGAGATCATCTAATTTGCGTTTTAAAGTTTTTCTTGTTTCTACTTTTTCTTCTTCACTTACATCACTCATAAGTTTAGATTCATTTTTATCATTAACATTTTGCAAAATTAAATTTTTTGGATCCACTTCAATTGTATTTATATTGAGCATTCCATTGCTTGTAGTTTCAGTCTTATCAATATCTATAGCTTGACCAATTTTTGATACTTCTGTGTTATCTTCTACTTTAGTTTCTTGTTCACAATCGTTATTACTATTTAATGATATTTCATTATTTTCAGATTGAGAAGTAGTAGGAGTAGATACTGTTCTACAAAGAGATATATCACTTAATAATGATGATTCCCCTTGATAATGTAATCTTAAAAAGCTATAAATATTAACTGTTATGTGTCTTTCAATCTGTTCCTTAGGAAAATTCATAGCTTGAATAATAGCTAACTGAGGTATATTTCCAGGATGCATATTTATTAATAATCCTGTAGTATTTGCACCAATTCTATGCAATATGGCAGCTCCAGGTAATCCTTGTGAACCACTGTCATATAATAAATATAAACCATCCGATTGAACATCGCTATATGATAACAATTGAGAAAGAGCATCCATTCTTAATCCTCCTACACGTGTATGATCTTGTCTAAAGTATACTTCGTGTAATGATACTATAGTAGGTTTACATACTATTAAATAACGAAAGTATTTTTGTTCTTTCTTCTTTATATATTTTTCTTGAGAGTATTCTGTTTTCACAGAGAAAGATTTACTATTTTCTATAAGAGTACCAACTATCTCCTTCCCAGACTTTCCAGATTCTTGAAGTTGCAAAATTTCTTCTTTCGACAATTTTTGAGAATTACCATCATTGATGATACAACGATTGTCTAAACCACTCGATACGGTGTTCTTTAAATCATTCCAAGATTCTGCCTCTTTTATAGTCTTCAATGTATAAGATCTTTTATTATTTTTCGATGGGACCATTTCAAAAGTTGTCCAATAAGGTTTACCAATTATTCCTTGCATATCTACTTCATCCTTTCCTAACATTAATATTCCATTTAATGACACCTTATATACTTTGGTGTACTTTTGTTTTTTCACTATCACATAATTTCCAGCTTTAATTACATCCTCGTTTTCACCCATATTTTATATTTTCTTTTTATTTTACAAAATTAATCTCTTTAATGCCAATGATTCTAAGTGTAACGACTCGTCAATTTTAGGTTAAACAGTATTAAATATGCGGTCATATAAAGTGAGTTAAATGGCACATGTAACTGATACTACATTACCACCTTGTGATATTATTTCAATGTAAATATAATTTATACTTTTATTCAAATCAATTAATTAATTGTAAAAAAAAAGAAAATAACCGCATTTTTAACAATAATTGAATGATTAATATTCATTTATGTATTATAAAATATTATAATTTACTTTTATATTTTATGAAAAGATAAAATACAATAGTAAAAATAATCAATGGAATATTTATTTGTTATAACAAAATTGGCGAGATAATTATTTTGCGACAAATATCTATATTCTCTTTTTTAAAAAATATTTATGATAGATGTATAATAGTACGCAACATTTTCACTGCTAGAGTCATCAGAATGAAAAGCTAACCTATATTTATTTTGTAGATAGTAAGTATTTGGTAAATTTTCTCTATGCGAATATAACGTTCTCATATGTCGTTATTAATAATTTAAAAAGAAACAAAAAAATAATATAAATATTGTTTACGATGAACGTTATTTGTTCGTAAATTGTTTCATATTATATTAAAAACTAAAAAAATTATTTTTTGCAGCAACTATAAAGGATGGTTATCTGCACTGAATTTCAAGCAATTGTACTTGCTGGCGGAAAGGGTTCTCGTATGACAGAACTCACAGCTGGTCAACCAAAATGTTTATTACCTATTGGAAATAAACCAATGATTTGGTTTTCTCTACAGTTACTTGAACGTAGTGGATTTAAGGAATGTATTATAATAGTATCAGAATCAGTAAAGAATGATGTATCGTTGTTGTTGGATAAACTAGATTTAAAAATTAAAATGGAAATTATAGGAATACAAGGTGCAGAAGATCTTGGTACCGCAGATTCCATTAGACTTATTCATGAAAAAATTCACACAGATTTCTTAGTATTATCGTGTGATTTGATAACAGATATTGATATCTCTGAAACATTAAATCTATATAGAAAACATAATGCGAGTATTACAGCATTAATGTTACCAATGTTCAAAATATCAGACGAATTTGTTACTCCAGGACCTAAAAATAAACAAAAACCAGAAACAGATCTAATGGGAATAGACAATGAGACCGGACGTTTAGTATTTTTGGCGTCGGCTTCAGATTTTGAAGAAACAATAAATATATCTCAAAAAATTCTCAAGAAACATACCAATTTTACTATGTATTCTAAACTGATGGATGCACATGTCTATATTATTAATAAATGGGTTTTGGATTTTCTAGTATTTAATAAGTAAGTAATTATATAAATAAAAAATAGAGAGTAAATACTTTCATCGAATAAATATATTTATGTATTTTATGTTTTAGAAACATTAGTACATTGAAAGGTGAACTTCTTCCATACATAGTTACTAAGCAATTATCAAAACCACCTAAGCAATGTCCAGAAGACAAAAATACTTCCATGGTACAGGTAAATTTGAAAGAAGATATATTCCGTTTTGCAGTTGCAAAACCATTAGACGAGTTAATAAGAAGAATGTCTGCATTTAATGACCACAGTACTGATTTACAAGAAGCTTATCATGATGATATAATTAGATGTTATGCTCACATTATGAAAAATGGGTTTGGATTAAGAGCTAACACTATACAAATGTATCATTTTGCAAATTTTAAGGTACATATAGTAATATACAATTTTATATATGTATATTAATTTTATAAAAATGAAATGAAAAGTATTAATATATATTATTACAGATATCGGATTGGTCGTCTAGTATTATAAAATCTGATCTATTCCTGAATACATCATCATCTGCTACTGTTAAAAGTACACAAGTTCAAAATTGTAGTATAGATGAAAATGCATTTATTGATGAAAAAACATCCCTGAAAGTTAGTCACATTGGTCCTAACACAATTGTTGGAACGAAAACCAGAATTTTAAATAGTGTTATAATGGGCAATGTAACTATAAAACAAAGGCAAGATATTTTTATGATACAAAAGATGCATAAGAATACAAAAGAATACACTAATATATCTGTACAAATTTGTAGATGCGCAATACACAACAGTATTTTATGCAATGGATCTATCATCGAAGAAGGTACCGAATTAAAAAATTGTATAGTTGGAGCTCAACATGTTGTAACATCTAACAGTCAACATTCTCGAGAAGTATTAACTGAAGCTGACAGATTAATAGAGATTTAATTATTCACTAATAATTTATTATTCGAAGTATGTATGACTACAGTGACAGGTATGGATAATGCGTTTATTGTATCGGTGTATAAACTTGTGTCACTTAGTAAAATTTAAAGAAATTATTTTTGAATTTAATTATATCTTATTTATTTACCTGTAGAAATATTATTGGCAATGTAAAGTGTTAGTACATATAGTTTAATCATAATTAGATTGAAGGGATTTAGAAAATATATTAAAATATGCAGCCATTCGCTCGATAGTACTTCCGTTGCGTGATTTATCATTAGATTTCAATACATCGCAAATACTATCGACCCAGGTCTCACCACGTGGAGGTTGCTGCATGTGGAGACCCACGGGCTGACGGTGACTCTACTCTAAAATCCGCGCCCCGCGATACCGATCCGCGATACCTTTCCGCTTCAATGCATTGGCTTCTTAACTAACAGGGTATGCGTAGCTTAGCTACAACACACCTCTTACAGATAGCTCCACCATTTACACCGTCCGCTTCAGACATAACGGATTATTAAGCACATCTGAATTCGTGCTTTCCGAATTTCGAACAATCAAAGCGCACTCCTTAGAAATACTAATCGCGTCGCGACACTCACATGTGTGTTATAATTACGTAGACTCTACTATTAAGCCGAAATTCGCGAAGTACCCCCATCGAAATTTTGAAGAAATCAAACGAAGTCCACGGTAGGACCTTTAATCGCGCCCGAACACCCACGCGAATGTTAGAACAACGATGACTCTACTCTACAAGTCGCGTTTTCGATTCGAACAATCAAACGTAATATAATCGCGCCCGAGAACACCAACGCCTGTGCCCGCCGACACGCGCGCCAGTGTTCTTCCTATCCTTCCCGTATTCGCGTATAAAAATCGATGATGAATCCAGCCAGACGACGACGCATCCGTCCGCAGATGAACCTATCCCTCGATGACCTATCCTGGAAAAGAAGAACGTAAGCAGAAAATAAGAGAAAGAATAAAAAATACATAAAATAAAACATAATATATATATATAATATAAACAGAAAATGAACATAATTAAAAACATAATTAAATACATAATTTGAAAGAAGTAACAAAAATAAATATTAAGAATACATAATTAAAAGGACATAACATATTAATAACATAATTGAAAACATAATTAAAAATGAAAAATATGAGATAGAAACGAGAGCCGGAGAAAGAAAAGGAAGCCCCAGAAAGAGAGGAATGGAGAGATAAGACAAGAGAAACAGATCTATATGATGCTGAGACAGCAGCCCGCACAGAAGCCCTCGCCCACAGGCCCCTCCTGTGGGTCCCACCCGAGATATATAAAGGATAATTAATGAGAGAAAATAAGAATAAATAGAAATGACATAAAAGAGAGATAGAATAATCTCCTTTTCGTTTCTCCGAGAAATTATTGTACAGTAGATTTCTGCTATATTTCTTCTTTTGAAGTATTATTGGCTATATAGAATGAAAATATGTTAATGATTAGTTGGAATTAGTTTGAAAAGATATTGGAAAAGTAATGCAATATGCAGCCATTTGCTCGGTAATACTTGCATTAAAGATTCTATAATTAGAGTATGCAAGTATTACCGACCCAGGTCTCACTACGTGGAAGTTGCTGCATGTGGAGACCCACGAGCTAACGGTGACTCTACTTTACTCTAAAATCCGCGTACCGCGATACCGATCCCTCATGCCTTCCGCTTCGGATATCTTGGGCATGGGACAAAGCTAACAGGAAGTATCTAGCCTTAGCTACAGGGACTCCACTTACAGAGAGCTTAACCGTTCGACACCCTCCGCCTCAGGCATAACGGATTATTAAGCACATCTGAATTCGTGCTTCCGAATTTCGAACAATCAAAGCGCATTAATCGCGTTCGCGACACTCACGTGTATTATAATTACGTAGATTCTACTGTTCTATCCAAATTCGCGAAGTAATCTAATGCGATATGTCGAAGAAATAAAACGAAGTCCTCGTTAGGACCTTTAATCGCGCACGCGAACACTTACGTGAGTGTTAGAATAACGGTGACTCTAAGTTGAAATCCGAAGCGCACCTCGAATTTCAACACTAAACGAAGTCCATGATAGGACTTTTAATCGCGCCCGGACACCCACGCAAGTGTTCGAAAACGGTGACTTTACTCTAAATAAACTAATCGAATATTCGAGCAAACAAAACGAAGTCCCCGGTAGGACTTTTAATCGCGCACGCGAACACTCACGTGAGTGTTAGAATAACGGTGACTCTAAGTTGAAATCCAAAGTGACATATGTTAACCGGTGTTTAGACTTTCCTATGATATTTGTCGGGATTTCCGCCCCGCTACCAAATATGAGGATTGTCATAACATCAGCAAACTATGTACAGCACTACAAGGTAAACCGTTCGCGCACCCCGAATTTCAACACTAAAACGAAGTCCATGGTAGGACTTTTAATCGCGCCCGGACACCCACGCAAGTGCTCGGAAAACGGTGACTCTACTCTAAAAAAACGCGTTCGCGAGGTAATCTAATCGAATATTCGAGCAAATATAAACGAAGTCCCCGGTAGGACTTTTAAGTCGCGCCCGCGTATATTCACGTGAGTGATAGAAAAACGGTGACTCTACTCTAAATTCGCGTTTTCGATACGAATAATCAAACGAAGTTTAATCGCGCCCGTGAACACCCACACTTGTGCTTGCCGACACGCGTGCGAGTGTTCTCCTATCCTGCCCGTATCCGCGCGTAAAAATCGATGATGAATCGAGCCAGGTGATGACGCAGACGTGAACCTATCCCTTGATGATCTATACTGGAAAAGAAGAAGATAAGGATAAAATAAGAAAATGAAAAGAAAAGACATATTGAATATCGCTGCATGATTACTCGATCATCTCTGAAAAAGAAAGAAAATGATGAATAAGAGAGAGATAGAAAAATATATAAAATGGAAAATAAATACGTATAAATAGATAAGAGTGCTGGAGAAAGAAGGAGCTCTGCATGATGCTGAAACAGCTGCTCGCACCATCTCATCGGACTTACCTAAAACTTATAAATCATAATTAGTAAAAATCATATTAATAACATAACTGAAAACATAATTAAAAACATAATTAAAAAGAAACAACATAAATAAATATTAAGAAAACATAACTGAAAAGAAATAACTTATTAATAACATAATTAAAAACATGATTAAACACATAATTAAACACATAAATAGACACATAATTAAACACACAATTAAACACATAACTAAACACGTAATTAAAAACATAATTAAAAATAAACAACGTAACTAAATATTAAGAAAACAACTGAAAAGAAATTACTTATTAATAATATAACTGAAAATATAATTAAAAAAGAAAAATATAACATAGAAAAGAGAAAAAAAGAGATGCAGTTCTATACGATGCTGTGACAGTATCCCGCACAGAGGCCCTCACCCATGGCCCATCCCATGGGTCCCACCCGAAACTATAAATCATAATTCATAAGTGTATATTAATGATGTAAAAAATAAAAACAAGAAAAATATGACTTAAAAAAGAGAGCCGCAGAAAGATAAGTGAATAGAAGCAGCTCTACATGATGCTGAGACAGCAACCCGCACAGAGGCCCTCACCCATGGGCCCCTCCCATGGGTCCCACCCGAAATTATAAATCATAATTAATAAGACTAAATAAGAATAAATAGAAATGACAGCGGACATCAAAAAGGGATAGAAAAATTTCCTTTTCATTTCTCTGAGAAATTATTGTACAATAGAATTCCGCCATATTTTTTCTTTTGAAGTATTATCAGTGATGTAAAGTCGAAAAATATTAATGTTCAGTTAGAATTAGATTAAAAAGATATTGGAAAAGTAAAAAAATATGCAGCCATTCGCTCAGTAATACTTGCGTTAAAGAATTTATTAGAGTATTTATTAGAGTATGCAAGTAATACCGACCCAGGTCTCACCACGTGGAGGTTGCTGCATGTGGAGACCCACGGGCTGACGGTGACTCTACTCTAAAATCCGCGCCCCGCGATACCGATCCGCGATACCTTTCCGCTTCAATGCATTGGCTTCTTAACTAACAGGGTATGCGTAGCTTAGCTACAACACACCTCTTACAGATAGCTCCACCATTTGCACCGTCCGCTTCAGACATAACGGATTATTAAGCACATCTGAATTCGTGCTTTCCGAATTTCGAACAATCAAAGCGCACTCCTTAGAAATACTAATCGCGTCGCGACACTCACGTGTGTGTTATAATTACGTAGACTCTACTATTAAGCCGAAATTCGCGAAGTACCCCCATCGAAATTTTGAAGAAATCAAACGAAGTCCACGGTAGGACCTTTAATCGCGCCCGAACACCCACGCGAATGTTAGAACAACGATGACTCTACTCTACAAGTCGCGTTTTCGATTCGAACAATCAAACGTAATATAATCGCGCCCGAGAACACCAACGCCTATGCCCGCCGACACGCGCGCCAGTGTTCTTCCTATCCTTCCCGTATTCGCGTATAAAAATCGATGATGAATCCAGCCAGACGACGACGCATCCGTCCGCAGATGAACCTATCCCTCGATGACCTATCCTGGAAAAGAAGAACGTAAGCAGAAAATAAGAGAAAGAATAAAAAATACATAAAATAAAACATAATATATATATATAATATAAACAGAAAATGAACATAATTAAAAACATAATTAAATACATAATTTGAAAGAAGTAACAAAAATAAATATTAAGAATACATAATTAAAAGGACATAACATATTAATAACATAATTGAAAACATAATTAAAAATGAAAAATATGAGATAGAAACGAGAGCCGGAGAAAGAAAAGGAAGCCCCAGAAAGAGAGGAATGGAGAGATAAGACAAGAGAAACAGATCTATATGATGCTGAGACAGCAGCCCGCACAGAAGCCCTCGCCCACAGGCCCCTCCTGTGGGTCCCACCCGAGATATATAAAGGA